CAGCTCTTAGCACACTCCTGACGATGGTTCCAATTAGTGTAATTACAGTTGGCTGCAGCTTCCTCTTGTGATTGTCATTAGGAATCACATGGTCAATTCTGCTGCTTTTCACTGGGCAAGCAGCCAGAAGCTGGCAGCAGCCTCTCCTCCTGGCAAGGGCCAGAGGGAGGCCAGGCTGGCAACAAAGACGCAGCCAGGCATTCAGACCTCTGTGCTCCTGGCAACAAGACCACCATCTGGGAGGAAGGAGGCCAGTAGTACAGCTACCTGTGTTGTTGGAAGAGCACAGTCCTCACAAGAGGCTTAACTGCACTTGGCATAGCTGGTCCCTCAGCTCAAATACCATCACAAACACCATCACCCTTCTCAAGTCCCAGATACATGTCAGCTTTCACTGCATCACTTTTCCTAACACAAAGTAAGACAAACAGTGCACCCCCAAAATACAACTCCCCAAGCAACTGTAAGACACAAAACCTCTCAGGTTAGCATGACATCAGAAAAGTGAGCCATTTCCAAGTACAGGGTGAAGACTAGGAGCAAAGGTTCATTCACAGCTTCCTTGGACTGCAGAGACCCAAGGCTGCAAACATCAAAATCTGTAGGAGGTGACTAAAAGACTCCATATAGAAGCAGAGGGATAGAGTGAGGAGCAGTTATTTGCCACTGCAAAGATCACAGATGAATGTGAGCCCTTTATAGCCCAGGCTGGGTACTAACCTGCCTTCCGGATGTCTGCAGCCCAAGCTCCCCTTTCCCCACCTCACTGGGCACCAACCACAAACCAACTAATAAAAATTACAGATCACAGAATCATAGAATAGTTAGGGTTGGAAAGGACCTTAAGATCATCCAGTTCCAATTCCCCTGCCATGGGCAGGGACACCTCCCACTAAACCATGTCACCCAACGCTCTGTCCAACCTGGACTTGAACACTGCCAGGGATGGAGCATTCACAACGTCCCTGGGCACCCATTCCAGTGCCTCACCACCCTCACAGGAAAAAATTTCCTCCTTATATCCAATCTAAACTTTCCCTGTTTAAGTTTTAACCCATTACCCCTTGTCCTATCACTACAGTCCCTAATGAAGAGTCCATCCCCAGCATCCCTACAGGCCCCTTCAGATACTGGAAGGCTGCTATGAGGTCTCCACGCAGCCTTCTCTTCTCCAGGCTGAACAGCCCCGACTTTCTCAGCCTATCTTCCTACGGGAGATGCTCCAGTCCCCTGCCCATCCTCGTGGCCTCCTCTGTACTTGTTCTAACAGTTCCATGTCCTTTTTATGTTGAGGATACCAGAACTGCACACAATGCTCCAGGGGAGGTCTCATGAGAGCAGAGTAGAGGGGCAGGATGACCTCCTTCAACCTGCTGGTCACACTCCTTTTGATGCAGCCCCTGGATCTGGTTGGTTTCTGGGCTGCGAGCGTGCTCTGAAGCCAGCTCATGTTCAGTTTCTTATCGACCAACACCTCCAAGTCCTTCTCCACAGGGCTGCTCTGAATCTCTTCTCTGCCCAGCCTGTAGCTGTGCCTGGGATTGCTCCGACCCAGGTGTAGGACCTTGCACTTGGCATGGTTAAACTTCATGAGGTTGGCATCAGGCCACCTCACAAGCGTGTCAAGGTCCCTCTAGATGGCATTCCTTCCCACACAGCTTGGTGTCATCGGCAAACTTGCTGAGGGTGCCCTCAATCCCACTGTCCATGTCACAAACAAAGATGTTGAACAAGACCAGTCCCATCCCCAATCCCTGAGGGACACCCCTCATTACTGGTCTCCAGCTGGACATTGAGCCATTGACCACAACTCTATGTGTGCGGCCATTCAGCCAGCTCTTTATCCACTGACTGGTCCACCTATCAAATTGATATCTCTCCAATTTAGAGACAAGGATGTCGTGTGGGACAGTGTCAAACGCTTTGCATAAGTCCAGGTAGATGATGTCAGCTGCTCTACCCCTGTCCATCAGTCCCGCACCCCATCATAGAAGGCCACCAAATTGGTCAGGCAGGACTTCCCCTCACTGAATCCATGCTGGCTGTCACCAGCCACCTTGCTGTTTTTCATGTGCCTTAGCATGCCTTCCAAGAGAATCTGCTGCAAGATTTTGCCAGGCACAGAAGTGAGACAGACTAGTCTGTAATTCCCTGGGTATATATACATCTGAAACAAGAAACGAAGCACAGCTTCCGGCAGCCCTGCTGCTGGGCACCAGACCATGTGTTGCTGCTCTGCCTTGCTGCTCCTCTGTGTTCTGAAGCCAGGCTGGCTTTCCAACAGTAAGCTTGCTGATAATACCTTGTCTGCTGGGCAGAGGATGGAGGAGTGCAGAGGGGCTTGCAGGGAGGCTTTCTCCTTGCCCTCAGGGTGTTTACTGTATGGAAATTTCAGTAGGAAGCCAAGCATCTGTTCTGCAAATAAAGAGGGTTCCTCAGGGGGATGGGTAAGAGGCCAAATCAGCACATGTGAATACCTGATCTTATGGCAAGAACAGAGCTTGCACAGAGTGTGCAGCAACTCTGAGATTCATTCAACTTCGCTTCCATTGGTTTGTTAGTTCAAACACTGTCACTATTCCATCACAGTCTCTATTTTCCTGCCCACGGCTGAGGGCACCTGGCCCTCGTGGGCATGGGGGAAGGCCTGCATGGTACGAAGATGCATATGTGTGCTCTCTCCAGCAAAGGGGCTTATGTGTGTTCGTTGGTGCATGCACACGCAACGCTGCAGTGCTCAGCCGTGGCTCCAGCATACACAGCCTTCAGACGCTTCCTCTGAGGATGGGGAGCAGAACCAAACTGTGCCACAATAAAAACAGAAAACTACTTCTTCCACACCTTCAAGTGGCCCCTGTTTTGGGGCTTGTCAGAAGAATCTGCATGACCAGTGAGCTTCCTAACTCCTCTCAGAAGACTGTAGAGACCATGCTGTGGCACAAAGGGACCTCTTAAAGGAAGGATTCCTCACAGCCCTGTGTGGGGGTGCCAAGAACAGAGTGCTCTGCCCTGCACTGTATGACACTCCCCATGATGAGTCCTTACCAAGTGAGACACAAAGCTGACACAGCTGAGGATCCTTGCAGACATGGCAGTCAGTGAAAGCAAAAGCAGGGTGGGAACAAGCAGCAGGGAAGGTAAAAAACTGATGGGAAAGCATTCACCAGAGGCACTCTATCCCTAACTTGCTGCTTTCCCAAATGCAGGGAACAGAAGTGATTCAGAAAGGCTCAGAAGTGCAATGGATTTGAGATTAGAGAAAGAGAGCTCTGGCCAACAGGATGGCTGTGCCTCACTGCTCTGACCTAAATCTTTGTCCATTTCTCCAAAGTACCAGCACTGCTTCTCCATTTTGTTGCCTCTGTGCCTCAACTCTCCATCTCCTTTAATCAGAGCCTTGAAATATGTGATGGAGAACTGGTCTCACATCGCTGACAGCAGCAAGTACGGCTAGCACAGATCGTGGGATCTGCCCATCCTTCCTCACAGTACTCCTGCCAGTGCTGAGCAAGTGATACAGAGCACGCAGACAGTGGATGCAGGTGAACAAAAGTGAAAGCAAGCAGATCTTGGACCAAGAACAGCAAGGCTAGCACAAGAGGTGTGGGGAACATACTGGGCTCCCTCCCTTGCAGAGTTTAGGCTCTCACCAGAAGCTGCTACAAAAGCAAGATAAGCCACAAACAATAGGGACCTTTCATTTTCCTTCCACGTTTCCCAGGCAACACCAAGCACCCAACAACAGTTTAGAGTGCAAAAGCCCCTTTGTGGTCAGTTAATGGCAGGAAGATGAAGATACATAAATAGAGCCACTCAGTGCTTATTGTTTGGTAATCCCAGTTAGGCATCTGCAGCAATGACATCCATACCCAACACTAAACTGCTTTTAAGTGCAAATGTCTATGCTGGAACTCTGAAACTCCACTGAAGGAGATGCATTTCCATTCTTAATTTACAGACCTACAGCTATCCCTACACACATGGTTACTAGTGCCTGACAGCAAACAGAGTGAATCCAACTGGAATCATCAGAAGTCCCAGCTATTGGAAAATCCAGCTAGGGACAGACCAAACTATTCTTAGCTCCAGGCATCCTACTTGATGCACAAGATGCCAGCCTGGCCTGAATGCTTGGTTCAATAGCTTTAATGTGAGGTAGCTGCACCACCTGCTGTCTGCTCTGAAGGAAGTTACCAGTGTCTATTAGAACATCATTAAAAATTATCGTTATTAACAAGAGTTTTCTTCTTCGGAATCAGTTCTTTGCAGGACATGCTCTTAATCAGAGACACCAAGAAAGACTACATATCTGAAAACTATGACACGCAAGATCAACAAAGTGACAGTCTCGTCAAAATGGTTCAGGTTCTCAAAGTACAAGGAGTTCACTTTAGTATCAAGCTCCACTCAGGAGGAGGGCTGCACTGTTGTCCCTTTGGGAAGCTCTCTCAAGGTATTTTACTGGAAAACCTCCAAAAGCTAGCATCAAACAAAACTGTCAGGAGAAGGCCATGAAAAAAAAACAAAAAACCGAAAAAAAGCCACCTGCCCAACAGCATTTGTGGTTTAGCAGGAAAGAAAAAGACATCTTAAATCCTGCACCACTCCCCTTTCCTGGACAAGGCTACAGCACTAGCTGTTCCAATCCAATGGGGCAAAGAGGTAAGATTTCTACAAAAACCCACAACACTAGAAGTCTTCTTAGGATGCAGCACCTTGTTCATGTGTGATGTCAGAAAGCTCTCTTGGCTTGCACAAATATGTCAGCCGCAGAAAGATCTCCCTAGTCCTAGAGATAAAAAAAACCTGTTCATGGGCATGTGTTTTGAATGCCAGGCCTCAAAAATAATTGGGCATGCAAGGTCAGTGTTATTTAGTTAAGCTTATTGCTTAAACTAGATCTCCTGTGATACTGTTCTACCTCCCCTTAGCCTGTAGGGCCATAAGGGCTCACACATCTCTGTCCTTCCTCCCACCAACTTCATTTGTCCATGTTCAACTGGTCCCAAATACCAGCATTTAATTCTCTCCATACTGTGCATACAAAACATGGAGGTCACCAGGCACAAAGGCTCCTTCTCACTAGGATAAGTCTACAGATTTATATGTAGTGATCTGCTCCCACCAAGATGGAAGGTTCTGCTTAGCAGAACCGTAAAGAAAGTATGGGATGGTCTATCTACCTTCTCTTTTGAAGCCAAAGCTCAAGCAACACTCAAATCATCCTGAACCACTCAGCCTGCAGTCCAGACATGTCCACGCTCGTTCTACAGCTCATAATCTATGCTCTCAATATACAGCCATCAGGGATTCCCCGATAAGCTTCCTATAGCTTTTTCCCAGTCTCACTGCACTGTTCTACTTCCACTGAACCAGGACTCATCTTCCAAGTTCATTCTCTGTGAAAGGGATTTTGCCTGTTTCTGGTGCAGCGTCTACAGATCCACATTGTAGCAGAGCAGCAGGACAATCTTATCAGGCCCTGGCTCTTTTGGGTGGTCACAGGCAGAGACTCTTGTACCTTCCTCCTAGACCGCTGTCAATCAGGTTTGGTAAGAACAGAGCACGCGGCTTTGTGCTTCATGTTCAGTCAGTGTTGCTGTGGGGTTTCAAGATCCTCTTCCTCCTCCTCGCCATGTTCAGTGGGGCGCAGCAGCAGCTCCAGGTCAGGGTCAGAGCTGGCCTCTTTGTGTAGCTTCAGTGATTCTTCACCTGCATGCAGACAGCCCATTTAGTGACAAACTCACCAGAGGACGCATCAAACCTGGCGCTGTCAAGGAGCTGGAACTAGATACAGCTCCTACTGAAGCTGCTAGACTGCCTACAGAAAAATATGACGGGATTTAAAACAGAATTACCTTTGGAATTCAGGGCTTTGAGAATGACATGGAGATTCCTGACAGACAGACAGCAAAGCCCAGCCAGTTCAAGAGACTGAGGCAGCCCCCCAGCAAACGTGTGGCGAGGAACAAAATGCAGATTTCCTGTGGAAACAAAAAACATGTTAAGTGGTAGGGCAGGACCTGAGGAGATACGCACAAGATGTTTTACAGCTCAAGCCTAGATCACAATGTCAGGCTGCTAATTTCTATCAGCACGTTCTTCCACGTGCAGAGAGTTCTAAAAAGTTTCTAGAAAGAGAACTACCTGTTAAACTGGGATGTGGGATTTTCAGTCCTCTGACTGCACAACTTGGCGACACGGGAATCCTGTGACTTCCAGATCAGACAAATTTCACAAGTTACCATTCAACTCAAAAGTATGTATGTGGATTCCTCAGAGGAGGGGAGGATGTGCCAAACTAGATTAAAGACATAGCTAAAACCAGTGGCTTGTTCATATCCAGATCTGATGCAAGAGATCTTCTTACCCCTTCTCCCTCCCCATCCATTGCTCATGAGGCCCATGTGTTTTAGCCTATCCCAGATACCACCAAACTTTGGACCTTAATGATATTTTTATAGAATAGCTGCCAGTCTCTAACCCTTGTTATCAGGGACCAAGGGACTTCACTGCAGAGACTGCAAGGCAAAGCATCAAGCTCCTGTGCAAGGAGAGCAAAAATAACAGGAGATGATTTCTAAGGCTTCAAGGAAATTTCCACCATGTGAGGGCCATTACAGGGGTTCTTGCCTTCTAGCATTAGCATAGGAACCATGCCTTACCTTAAAAACACCAGCAATGGAAAGGGTGAGACTAGATGTTCTGGAAACCAAGAGGAACTCAGAAAAGCCTAGACCACAGGCAAGAATTCCACCCAAGAACAGCTTCCCTACCAGACAAAACAGCATTCCTGCTTCATGGAAATGGAAGAGCTTCTCTGATATGGACAAAGGCAGGCCTAGGAACAAACGAGTGAGTTGCAGCATATGTTTCCCAACTCCCAGGACTCCTTACAAGAAGACAGGGGTGAGCTGTTCACATTCCAATGATAATATGGAGCCAGTTCTTCACAACCTTCCACAAGCATGGCAGGCTACTATTCCTATGTACTCTTTAATGTTCTGCCAGCATAAGGCATATCTAGGTCCTTATAATTTCAGGTTTCAAACGGCTTTGTAAAGTTCATAGCTGTTCGCTTATCTAAATGAATCATCTTAAACAAAGAACTGTTAAGCAATCTCCCTAGCCACTCTGCAAAGCTACCCCTGCTTTCTCCTGTTAACTCACATACCCTCAGACACCACAAAGAGTGGGAAGAGCCCCAGGAACATGAAGGGTTGCAGGTGAAACATGGTATCAATGGGGTTCTGGAGCCCTGAAAGAATAACAGACCAGGCAGCAATAAGCCAGGGTTTAACACAGTGCCTAAGCTTTTATTAGTGCCATCCCTAGTACTTTGTAATGCCCACGCCTGTGCTGCTGCAGATGCCAAGCCATCTTCAGTACCCATCAACAGATAATCCTTGCCCCTAACACAAGATGTTTTGTTTCTGCAGCAAGGGCTACCATCTCCTTAATCCCCTCCCCGTTACCAGTACCACCCCACGCTTCCTAACACTCCACATATCCAACTCAGCTTTTTGCGTAAGTATCTGCATGACAGTCCAGCAAATACCCCCAATGAAAGAGGCACACAGCACCAGCACAAACCCCTGTGCGTTGAACTGTGTGGACTTGTAGGTGAACATACCACCCCAGCGATAAGCAGAATCACCAGCAGCAATGCTACCCTCTGGATAAGAGCAAACACAAAGTTACTACAGACTCCTGGAGCTGAACAGAGACAGCTACTTTCAGATTCACCCACAAAGCTCACTCTTCCTCTACTTATATGTTGCTTGTACATGTACTGCCTATTTTGCTAGGCCTGACTTTCTTCCTCCCTAAAGCACTGTGTGGGACCCTTACCACTTTCTCCAGCTTGAAGAGCAGTGAAAAAAACAGGATGAAGAAAGTGGCAGAGGATTTGCTCATCGTGTAGCTGTAAGGACCAAAATATACTATCAGTCTCCTCCAACGTAGTCCTTCCCAGCAAAGTACTATTAGGAACCAAATCACCCTCTTCCACATTGCTACCAGCAAGCATCACTGTCCCTGCATGCCAACCCCACTAAGCCAAACACTCATCTGAAGGCATGGACCCTTTCTAAAGCTCATCAGATGATGGTGTTTGTACTCACAGGGAGATAGTGATGTACAGGGAGCTCCAGTTACTCAGCCCAACATCCAAGGAAATAGAGCTAAGGAATCAAAGAAAAAAACACCTTAAGTTAACTGTCTTCTGCTGCATTGAAACCACAGAAACAAAACAATCACAAACAAACAAAACCCAAAGCCATTCAACCAAACAAAACCCTGCTACTTGACCAGAAACATAGAGAACACACCTGGGGGAAAAACCCGAAACATCTTCCTGAGGTTTACTCTTCAATACCAACACAGCTCAGAGATCTTCAGCTCTTTACCGGCCTCTTCCTGTAATTTGAGCTGGGCTCAGCACTGCACTCTCTGAACAAACCGTGCATAAGCACGGAAGTAACACTTGCCCTCCCTGCGAGGGAAAATCATAGTGGATTTGCAGTCTGTTCTGAATGTATCACAGCCTGAGAACTAGTGTGTATGAAGGGCTACTGCGAGGAGGCTAAAGTAGTAAGTCTGGCAACAGTCCTCAGGATCCACATGCAGCTCGTTACAGTGTTCTCCCTGGTACAAGAGCTTCCTACCACAAGAAACAGCTTTACTGGTCACGGTGCTACACTGAGAAGCAGCATTACTACAGCTGTGGAGAAAGCATTTCTCAGAAAACCATGGGGCATGATACCTAAGGTATTGCAAACCTTGCCCAAGATCTTAGATACATACTGTTCTGTGCGAGCCAGTATGAGAGCAACTGAACCAACATCGTACACAGCCAAAGCACTGCTGAAGTAGCTGTGTTCTGAAGAGCTTCACCCCTCAGCCTCAGCTACAGCAGTTCTCTGTGTCACATATGATAAACTTATGCATCATGAAGACTATGTTCCAACCAGAGAAGGCTCCTGAAATAACAAATGCATGGCTTGATACCATGCTAAAGAGGAAAAAGTAACTTGCAGAGACAATTTCCAGAGATACTGTACAAGGTTCTCATTGTTATCCTGTGCCAGTGGCTTCTTCAGAAAAACACGTTTAGCGAGGCCTCTCCACGTTTTAACCAGCTTTGGTTAGGCCCGATAACGACAGCGCGTCTCAAGCTAAAGCTTTAAGCAACGCCTCCACCTACCCCGCACCCGGCGAGAAACGCACGGACGCGCCGCTCCGCCCGGCTCACTCGCGCCCCAGCGGCGCGGCAGGTGCTCGCTTGCTGCAGATCACGGAGGGACCCGGCCCTAAAGCCGCAGCAAACGCGGCTCGGAAGAGGCCCGAGAGGGCGGCCTCGAGCAACCGCCCAGCGCCCCGCTCTCGCTCCCCTGCCCCGGCCCCTCCCGCGCCGGCTGTACCTGAGGGGGCCGCCCGGCTGAGGCAGTCGGCCCGGGAGAGCGCGGCCCGCGGCCGGCCCGAGCGGCAGAGCGCCAGCGCGCGGGCGACCGCCGAGACCGAAGATGAAGAGGAGGTGCAGCAGCGTCTCAAGTCGCAGGGAAGGAAAGCTCTGCGGGACCGACATGCGCTGTCACTGCCGCCGTCCGCATGCCACCGCCCCGCGCCGAGCTGCCCCACACCTTCATGAGCCACTTGTTGTGGGAAGTGCCGCTGATGGAGAAACCGTAGTGCAGCAGCACCAGGGGCGCTGCCCGCCGCCATGCGCCTCAGCTGCCCGCCCGAGCCGGTGGCTCCCTGCGGGGTTAAGGAGGGTGCGCGGGGCGGGGCAGGGCCGGGCCGGGCGGAAGGAGGGTGCGCGGTGGGCGGATCGAGCGCGGAACGAGGCGGAGGCGGCGGGAACGACGCTACCGGTTGTTATTGTGACATACAAAAAGGAACGCGCGGCCCCGACGCCCCCGCGCGGCCCCGCGATCTCAGCCGTAGTGGTACACGAAGTCGTAGCTGCTCGGCTCCTTGGGAATGGGTGGCGGCGCCTCGGGTATCTGGATGTTCTCCAAGTCCAGGAGCCTTAGCTTCATTTCCATGCTCAGCAACGTGTCCAGGTCACTTTTAGTCAGGTCGCTAGACATGTCCTTGCCCAAGAGAGCATTGAGCCCATCAATCCAGATACAGTACTACGGGGAAAAAAGGATAACTCACAACTCCAGGCATAAAGGATAGGTTACGTTGAATCTTTCCATCCATACAACAATTAGAGATACTCCTAATACAGCTCCAAAACAGCAAACATGGGAGTTAATGATTGGGGGGGGCGGGGGGGGGGAGGAGAAAAGCCACCCCAAAACAGTGCCCACATTTATTTCCAGTGGAAGGTGGAAGCCTGGAGGTAAACTTGACCCCATGACTCCAGGAGAGGGCTGAGTTTTTATTGCAGCATAACAACAGAAAAAGTAAAGCTATTTTAGGCAACAGTGTCTTACAGAATCCTGAAAAGGGAACAACTGACTGCATAGGAGGAAAGAAAGCAGCAGCCCAGACTAAGGGAAATGAGTGTAGGAATTTCTCGTATTAAAAAAAAACCAACAAAAAGCCTGAAAAAGATTCATGCTGAGCATCAGCAACGTTTTCTAGAAGTGAAGCTGGTGGGAGACATCAGTTGCTTCCGAGAAGCAGCTGATCCATCTTCATCTCTGAAGTTAATTGCTTTATATTCTACTGTTTACCCATTATGTTTCTTACCTCATATTTATTAGGTGCAATGAAGTTCAAGGTCTCATCAGGATCATACAATATCGAGAAGGCCAATTCTAACACTTCCTAAATGGAAAAGGATCTTTCATCCATGGACTAAACCAAACAAAACATCACAGCACTTTCTGCCTGCTAACCCAACCACAGAAGCTGCCTTGCTGCAGCTCAGTGCACTTTCCTGTATCAGTATTCTGAGCAGCTTCAAAGAGCCTATAGCGATCACAAATGAGTACTAGGAAAAGACCCAGATATAAGATGGGGTTTGTAAACAATACACCTGCAGTATAGAAGACCATTTGCTCCTGTTCCTTGCTGCCACAGTCTTCAACTGTACAGCATGTTAATTACAGGCAAAAAGGGAGCACTTACTTTGTTCTGTTTCAGTGCACTTTTCTCCTTCATGTGTGGACAGTCTTTCCCCGTGACAATGGCTTTGATATCTGCAACTGGAACTAACAGTAAAAAGTAAAACTCACAAACAAGAAAACCTAACCAGAACTTTGTTTTGTCTTTGCAACTGAGCATTGTTCCTGGTTTTGCAGCTCATTACTGCAGTTTTCCAAAACACATTACCAGTAACACATCCCTACAGTTGGCTGTTACAAGAAACAGAAAGCAATTTCAAGATTCAAAGAATCTCTACGAGAACCGTAAGTTGATCTTGTCTTTCTCAGGGCTTCAGCCACAGCTGCTTTTCTCCCATCTCTAGGAGGGTACTTCATAACAGCCTCCAGATGGCAACACACAGAACATTGCACAGTGCGCTCAGAGCAGTAACTGGAACTTACTTTTTTCCTGTAGAGATTCAAAGGTCACTTCACCCTGGGCATTATCTTCCAGATCTCCATAATGTAGCACCTTGTGATTCAGAGCCAGGCGACAATACCAGAATCTTTCTAGAACACACATCAAGTAGAGTAAGCTAAGCAAGTTCATTAACATAAGGTCTTACAGCCACTACACTGCAGTCACCCCACTTAATTTCTCTACCACCCACCCTCCCCCAGCTCCTCAGTACTGCTTCCTGTTCATGCAGGGATGGCTGTGTTCTTAGAAATGCACCTCTGTTCCATACCAAACTACTGGCTGGTAGAGAAAGCCCGAGTAATCAGCTTTTCTTTCTGGCAACACACCAGATTAATCCATTAGATCTTGTTTGCCTAGAGTTCTTCACATGAAAAGAATGCAGTAGATGCTGTCACCTTACCTTGTCTTCTGCGATTTCCAATTTTGCGAAAGCTACTTCCCTCACAAAGCCTGTTCAGGCGCTGTTGCTTTATCAGCTCCAAGATCTCAGGTTGGATTTTCTCCCTCAGCTCCCTGACAATGAAATATGGAAGAGTAGTCAGAAAATGGAGATAACAGCAAGCATAGAAGGCAACCTTTTCTGTTAGGCACTTACACAATAGGCGGCGACTGGAAGTCATCTTGGCTCATTCTCTCAGACTGGCGTAGTCGCAGAATCTCAGAATAGCTCAGACTGCGCAGTTTGCTCTTGAACTGGTCCAAAGAGTTTGGTTTAGAGGGGAGAGCCCGTGTGATCTGTTCCCTCACAACCTGCATAACCTAAAGAGTTTGGGCAGGAAGAAAAGCAAGTCGCATTCTTGCTGCTTAATGGCAGCAGAGGACCAGGGCACAGCTCAGTGGCAGCAAAGAACTCACATGGAAGAACTGAACTCAAGTCATACCAAAAAAAAATCGGACCATTCTCCCTTACAGCCCACATCAATGCCCTGTCATATCTTCTGTGCCCTACTCTTTAATCAAATGTATAGGCTGAGTGAACATGTGCTGTTCTGCAAAAGATTCTACAAAAATACTTCTTCTCCACTCTGACCTTATTAAAATCTTCTGCTGTCGCCCTCATTTCTTTCCAGGTCTTGTTCAACAGCTGGATGCAGATGGCAAACAGCTCCTCAAATGCACGATCATGGGTGAAAAACATGGGATGATAGTCATTCCGGCCTTCATTGGCTTCAGGAAGAAACAGAAACCACAACCATGTGAGCATATTGCACAAGAGCTACTAAGAGTAACTGAAGTCCGCTACAGTGACAGAATCCTGATTGTGTACAACAGTACTAACTCAAAGAAATTAAGACAGTTCAATGCTTCACCTCCCCATAGACATTCTATATTGGGAATGACAAGTATACCCACGCTTCACCATGCAAGCCTCTCATGTGTCCTTTTTGTACCCATCTCCCCAGATGATTACTTGCAGTTGTTTCTGACTTTTCTCCAGCAGGATTTCTTTTCCTGAGTGCACACGACAAAATGTCTTACTCTACCCTGATACTGGTATTATCACTGGGACACTGACACCGCACCTCCAAGCTCCTTCTGTCCTTACACAGCAAAAGTGTGATTGAGGTTCCAATGCTTGTGCATATTGGTCAGCCTGTAACTTACTTCCAGAAGCATAAGCCCAGCAACTTGGAAAGACAAATTAATAAACATTACTTACGGAGTTCCCCAACTTGCAAGATCTCACAAAGCATCCTGGTAAGCTCAATGGCACTGCGCCCAAAGGGACATTCATGCTTATCTTCTCGACTGCTGTTCTCCAGAACGATCTTAAAGAGGATACAACACACACTAAGAGGAGCTGCTGAGGTGTTGCTATCTGCAGAACACAGCAGCTTCACCTACCCTGATGTAGGTGTCTTGATGAAATTTGGCCAAGTAGAGCATGTTGTCCAATGCCAGCATCCCTGGAGGAGTCTGAGTAAAATCCATGGCTGGATTGATGTGATTCTGTGAAAAAAGTGTATAGAAAGAACCCCCAAAATTAGCTAGAATAAATTGTATGAGAACCTGTTCTGAGTTAATTTTACAACTGCCAGTCCATCAAACATTTCCTCACATATATCCAAGGGGTAACCTTGGATACCTGCTGACAACACTATCCGAACTTTCTAGAAGAGAGGCTGATTCCAGTTCTTCATAGAATAGGTGTGTATGGTAAGTAAATACCTCCAGAGAATGTGCTTCACGAGCCCTGGCATTTAACCAGTGAGCAACTTCATAATGATCTTCCCTGGGAGGCTGAGTGTAACTGAATTTCTAAAACTCAGATACAGAAGTATGGTGAAGCAAACTTCTATATCTGTTCCTTATTTCCCCACAACTCTGACAGAGATCACTTAAACTGTATTCATATGTTTTACAGTCAGCACTCTCTCTAGATGCATACAGTGAATCCCAGCATCTTGTAGTCCTTGGTGTACATGGCTTTGCGTTTTTCTGTTCCACTGCCAGGGATGGTGTTGCCGTCAGTCTCTGCATCAAACGCAATTCTTCTCAACTCAAAAATGATGTCTCTCTGTGCCTGAAGGAGGAGAAGGCAGGGAAACAGTAACATGATCAATCGTTAGGGCAGTATTTTCAGATAATGCACAGTAGTCTCCCCCCTGTCCAGAGCTCACACAATGATTACAGAGGGATGCCAGAGGCCATTAACACTACATAACAAGAGGCAATCCATTTCAAAATGGCAAGTCTTAGTATACTGGTAATGCAAAATATCTGTCTGCATTTTTCTTTAACCGCCACAAGTTTAGTTAAAAGCATTTCTAGGCAGTCAGATAATGCTAAGGCATATGACACTCAAGACTACAATCCATCTAAGAACTGAGTAAGAGACACCTTAAAAATGCCCACCTTCCTTGTACATAGCAAGGGAATGGATAAAATTATGTGCCCTCCATAAACGTGGACTAAGTAGTTTGACAACTGGCATCATGCTGGTAAAGCAAGCGACACAAGGTTTCCAGTGACTGCCTACATCTCTCAAAGTCCCATAGCATACAGCAGGACAGTCACTACATACCCTAATCTCAAGGACTACAATGCAAGAGGTGTTTTTGAAACTATGCATCATCCACTTCAAACCCCATGGAGCGAAGGAGCTCAGGAATAAGGCCCCTTGTTCCTCCTATTCTATCAGATCTTACTCAGCTTTAACACTGACCTGGTCATTGGGATCCATCTTGGTCATCATTCTCTCTTCCAGGAGATTAAAGGTGAGAACCTGCAGCACATACAGCTGATGTGCCATTTCTGTTTTAATTGGACGGTTTCCTCTGATCACATGCTGCAAAATAAAGGATAGGGTAGAAATCAAGAGAATACAAATAAAACCTTAACTATTAGCTATAGGATATGCTACAATGCATGTACATCTATGTATATGAAGATTCAGCTATTTTTAGCATCCATATTCCATCAGAAGCATAATGGTAATGCTCTGTAGCAGCAGAAAGCAGCATCTGATTAACTCCTTTTGAACAAGTGGCTCCAATTTTACCTTTGAAAGAATCACTTTTCTGGAAGTGCCCTGAGGGCAGCAGAATTTACACTCTGAACAAGAGAAACCTCTCAATAGAGAGAACGTTAGGAAGTGCTCTGTCATTCCAGACATACTTACATTCAGGATTATAGACCTCAGGTGCTTCTGCGCAAATGCATTAGCCATTTCCTGTGGAATTTAGAGATGAAGTAACATGAGTGAAGCATAAACAAAAAGCCCACATTCTGCAGAAAGGAGGGAAAGAAGGAAGCCTATGAATTGGAGATAGCACTGGCACACAAGAAGGTGCTTTTACTACAGACTGTCAATTTAGCATGGCACCTCACCACAAAGCAAGCATCAAGTTGGGATGCAAGTGTCATCTTTACCATGGCACATCTCCTGGATGACTCCCCTACAAAACACTGTCAATGGAGAGAAAGGCACTAGCGTAGTTAAAGAACTATTGAAGTATCTAATGATACTTCAATATCAGGAGATATGGCAGCAGGGAGCACACTGCAGGCTGCCGAGAAGAATCTGTCATCTGTAAGAGGTTCCTTCAATTAGCATGTCAAAATTTTTGATATGTAGGTATACACCCAGATAGAAAGGTCTGTGCTGTGCTGCCTCCCTCTCAAAAACTCTCCCTCTGAAATTCACACTTCCTTTGTCTCATCCTAAAGAGGTACCTAGAAATCAGTTTAAGGACAATTTGCAGAAGCATTTCAGTTACAAAAAATAAGGGTAAAGAATTTTCATGCTTAAAGGGAAGCTTCTAGTCTCCCTCTTTAGTGCATGGCTTCCTTCCCCAGAATAGAGGGTTTCCCAACCATCAGGTCATGATGACAAACAGCAAACGCAAATATCTACTGCAAGCATCTACTGCAATTCTTCAGTTCTGGGACCAATTACACAAGCACCTGCAAAAAAAACTAACCTGAGCTTTCCTTGTAAATTCTGAAGATGTACTTTTTAAAACTCCAGTGATCTCACCAGACCTACTTAGGGAGCGGCACAATTAGTGGCACAAGTGCTAATGACAAGATGGAATATTATCAGAAGTTTGCTGTCATAAGCAAAACCTTTGGGTAAGAAAAATCTGCTTGGCAATATATCATCTGGAAGAAGTCCAAAAGAACTGCCAGAGAGCTCTTCACGCTCCTATGCACTGCAGACTGAGAACTGGAACCAGATGTGCAGACAATTGCACTCAATCAGCTGTACATTCTGAGCAATCCAAGACTGTTCCAACTGCTCATATCAGCCCTGTTTTTGACAGGCTTTATAAGGAGTCTGGTAAAATGTATTAACTTCATTCCAAGTTCCTATTATCACTTTTGCTCCAGACAGAAACCTCCTAAAACAAGAAAGCGATATGCTGGCTGATAGCCAAGCCATAATAGCTGCAAATTCAGCAGCTCTCATGTTACAACCAAAATGAATCAGTGCTTGAATGGAAGATATCTAAGAAGCATGTAGATGGAGTAGTAAGTGGTTTCACAGATAACACACTGCCCTCTGAGGCATCATTTTTTACTATGATTCAAGAGATGTACTGAGAATAGAGCAATGCCTGCTCTTAAGATTTGTTCATGCATGCAACATAAATAATCCTTACTCTGAAGGAATTAGTTTGTATATGGGATAAGTAACAGGCGACTGAAGCAGATAAGGAGTGGTAAGGACAAAGACGATTCTAAGCAGCATAGTAAGAAGCATGAGCACACACAAAGCCCAGCCACTGCTAAGGGTTCTGTGTTCTGCTGAGAGTCCAGTAATGCCCACTTTGCTGTCTGATGGCATCACAGAATCATTTATGTTGGAAGAGATGTTTTGAGGTCATCTAGTCCAAGTTCCCTGGTTCAAGCAATATCAGAGCAGTTTGCACAGGACACGTCCAGTCAGGTTGTAGTATCTCCTGATAGACACTCCACAATCTTTCTAGGTACACTGTTCCAGTGTTTGACCACCCTAATTTTTTTGTTTGTGTGTGTTCAGGTGGAATCAACTGTTTTAAGCTGCACCTCTTGTCCTGTCAGCAGCACTATTGAGAAAAGTCAGGCTCCCCCTCCTTTATTCCCTTCCATCAGATATTTATACATATTGATAAGACCACCCTGAGCCTTCTGTCTTCCCCTGGAGACAGCACAGGGCAAAAAACATTCTTACAGTACAAGTCTCATAAGGGCAAAGTCCCAGGCAGAAGTTCTGTGACTGCTCTTTAGAGACAAACAGCTCTACTTCTAGAAGGATGCAGTTGGGTATGAAACTGTCATTAACACAAGCAAGATTTGTGGTATAAACTCAGGCTGTAGTAAGTTTAAGGAGACCCAGACTACTAAAGAACTGGTTCTAGTTTTACAATTGGTTCACCTGGTCAGTCTTGTAGTATCTATTTCCTTTTATGATGATCTTTATTATCTTGTGTGCACAGTAATACATTCTAGATTTCTCTTGCTACTGATTCTTCTCCCCTTAACAATATGAATGCATCCCCAGGAGTCCTTCTGCCCTTCTCCCTGGGCTCACCCACTATCTGAAGCCTGTATGCATCATGTCTGAGATACAAGGAGGTGTAACTGGAGAAAAGCTAACATGTCTGCAGTTTCACATGACCAGCCCCCAGGCTTGAGTTACTTACAGTGATGGGCAGGTCTAGTGGGTTAAGCAGCTTGTCCTGCTGGCAGAAAGCAAAAAAAAAAAAAAAAAAAAGAAAGGCACAAAGAAAAGCAGACAGGATTTAGCTGGGAGTCCAGAAAAAAAGGCACAAACAGGGCACTAGAGAAGAAAGACTTAACACAGCAAAGCTACACAATACAGACATATGCACATCCTGCATGTAGCCAAGATCTCGGGGTTTTCTCAGAGCAAGACAGGTGTTTCATTTCTCAAATGTGCCAGCAGGAATATCTCCTGTGGCTTCAGACAGGCCCCTTGTCTGGGGACAGGGGAGGAGATGGGGTATTTGTTTATGAAATACACACAGCCCCAAGGACTCATGCCACATCTCTCCTATACACAATTAACTTCGATGCTGTAGAGAGGATGGCTTTCTGTCTCTCAAGGCCTTTCAGGTTCCTTTCTGAGGACCTCCTAAACAAAATGTGTTGCTCCAGAACACATTATTAATGGGATGGTACTTTTTCTCCTATGTTGCCAAACTAAACCAGCTACATAACTTCTTGGCAAGGTCTGAAGTCTGCCTTGCCCAGAGAGTACAATTTCTGAGGCATAAAAAGCAGGCAAGTAAGCATTATTGGGGTTTAAAGTCAAACGCAAGAACAAACCTGTCTCTTGTCCTCAGGAGCCTTCAGGAAGAGGGCATTGATCAGGGCAATGGCATATGTCTGAATCTCTTGGTTTGAGCTGCAGAAACAAAAATGGGAAGATCATAAGAGAACAGACAGTAGAAAACATTACAGTTTGTTGCTTTGCCTGCATCATAAGAACATTTACTCCAGCTACCTTGCAATTGAACAGACAAGGAAGATTCAGGTAACCTATTTTCATGCCATTCAACTCTTCATAAAGCCTGCAAAAGCTGACAGAAATTGCTGACATGATAGCTCCATTATTCAGAAAACAGAGCAGACTGCAGCCCAGAAGAGCTCAGACTTCAGCACCGCCAGTTTTTTCCAATGCTGAAATTACCTCTGTAAAGCCTAGGTACACTGCGGCCTGTTATATACATACAGCTAGAAATATACATAGAGCAAGTAATTTATCTCTCGTATGTCAATGGAAGCCACCAAATGCAAAGTAAACTAAGGAGGAAGTATGCCTCTCTTCATGGAATTGCTTTCCAACCTCAACAGTTTGGCCTAACTCGCACATCTTTTTCTTATTTCCACTGAAGAGCTTCTTCAGGCAAAGGGTGCTTAGTCCTTTCCTCAGTCACACCCAGCATGTGTTTTCACTTGTGATATTTTCAACAAACCTTCAAAATGTCAATCATACTGTTTTCTACCCTCATATTGATGCTGTATTAAATCCAGTTGTTTTCTGCTATACTGTTACTCACAAAGGGTAACAGCATAGCTGGATGCCAGGTGCCCACCAAGCCCCCCCAGCACTCCTCTCAGCCGAAGAAGGCAGGGTAGAAAATAAGATGGAAAATCCCTCGTGGGTTAAGATCAAGGCAGTTTAATAAAGCACAAGCAATGGCCATGTGCAAAGAAAACGAAAACAAAAGATTTATTCTCTAATTCCCATTACCAGGCAATATCCAGCCATTTCCCAGGAAGTAGGGCGTCAGTATGCATAGTGGTTGCTCCAGAAGACAAACATAACAATGAATGCCTCCTCCCTACCCCCTTCTCTTAGCTTTTATTGCTGAACAGACATCATACGGTTTGGGATATCCCCTTGGTCAGCCTAGGTCAGTTGTCCTGGTTCTATCCCCTCCCAAGATCTTGCCCAACCTCACCCTACTGTTGGGGGGGAATGCTGGTGAGAGAGTCTTGATGTTGTGGGAGCACTGCTCAGCAGCAGCCAGAACACTGGTGTGTTATGAGCACCTTTATAATTACCAATACAATGCACAGCACTAGGAGGGCTGCTATGGGGTAAATTAACTCCATCTCAGCCAGACCCAATACACTCTTGGGAGACTTCTGCAGAAGTTCAAGCTCTTCTGATTAACTCAAGTTTAGTGCATGGCCTGAGTGAATTTGTGTGTATGTATAACTTTTAAGAAAATATTTATATTTATAAAATTAAATTTTCATAAAACATCTAAAGCTAAAATAATTTTTAGCCTAAATAGCTATTTTTTCCACTTTAGCATTTATCCCTGGCATAAATGTGAATAACAACCATATTCTCTCTTCCACTGCTTCCTTCCAAATCTTCTTCAGTTTGCTCAACCTGCCAATGTTCAAACATACAAATGTTCATGCATCATCTTAGGTTTTTCTTGGGCTTCTAAGCATTGTAGGTCTCTGAAGTCTGTCACTTAACCTCTTCTACCCTCCTTTTCAGGGTTTGCTGCTAATTTCACCACACTGCTTGCTTTCTAACACAGCAAAATAATACTTAAATTAATTTTTCCTCTTCTAACTCATCTCTTTCAGACTTTTAAATAATTTTTCCTTTTATAACTCATCTTTTTCAGACTTTTCCATGGACTTGTTTTTCCAGAACCTACGTTCTAATAAAGATTGTACACTCCTGACAGTCTCGCCAAATACACACCAGCAACTTCTGACTCACTCTCCAGCCTTACTTTCTACAATATTCTCGCATAGATACTTTCTTCTGCAACATTCTGTGTTCTAGAAGCACTTATGCATACGTCTTCAACAAAGATATTTTGCCTGAACAATTGCACAAGTGTGTCCTGTGTTAGGACCTAATCTGCAAAAACAACTTACTCTGTATAAGTATCTTACTTTTTTTTTCAATACATTAGAAATCCTGAAGTTCAAGATATCATATCAGTAATACTTAAAAAATAGCATCTTCAAGTGTTATAAATAAAATGATGTCTTTTCAAATTAACAGATATTCACAAAATTGATTTAAATCACACCACTGTTGGGTGGACACTCACACTTGCAGATGGGAAATGAGCTGCCCCACAGTGATCTCTTCTGCTATCTTCTGATACAGAGTCTGACTGTTTAGCACCATACTTTCAAGAATGGCTAGGGATCGCTGGAGAATGGAGACATCTACCATAGGCTGACTCACATACCCTGCAATCTAAAACCAGACAAAGCAGCAGGTCAACAGGTGCCCATCCAGGAAACCTTGTGATGTGAAAAACATGCCATGGAAGACATGGCTCAGAAAGCTGGGTTTACTGTGCTCTCAATGAGTACTCACCTTCTCAGTCATTTTGCAGTTTATGGAAGCTACATTAAAGCATGAAAAGAAATAGCATTCACTTACTCCCTTTACTCACCTGTTTGATGAAGGTGATTGAGACCATGTCCCAGGAGACAATACCATGGTCCATGAGCTCCAAGAAGGCAGTCAGGGTGAAAGCTAACATCTCACTGTAACTGAGAAAATGAAGCATGTGGTTACAAGAGATCTGGTAGCAAGGACAGGAAAGCCTGTCCAAGCTGAATAAGCTGGACAAAAGAAAAATTTTGCCAACTTCTCCTAATAAAACAGGCTACAGTTTGGCACTGGGGGAGCAATAAAGTATTTGTATTTATAATGTGTTTTGTAGTATCATACTTTATGTTTTGAGTATGTTTATATCATAAAACATGCAAAAATCTTTAGAAATTAAACCTCTCCACACACACACACACAAGAAACAAATGTTTTAACACCAGAATAAAACAGAGTTATTTTGTAACCACTGGGACCTGGCCTGAAACAAAATGAAAGCACAGCATGAATTGTGGAAAATTTAATACATAACCACAGGACAGAAAGGTAAAAAAGACTGAGGGAAAGACTGATAAACATGCTGAAAACATGTTAGTTGCTAATATATAAGGAAATAGATAACCTATAAACATTACAACAATAAACTATCATGACTTTAAAAGTGCTTTCAATGAAACAGAACGACTACAGTGGAAAAGCCAAGTGCATCCAAGTTCACCATGAATATACTCAGGGAAACTTCCAGATCAGTGTTTGAGGGTTCTTTTTTTTCAAGGGTTTTTTTTTTTGTTTTGTTTGCTTATTGCCATGGTAATACAGCTCCTTATTTGAGTTTCTGTTCCAGAATCCTGGAATACAGGAAACTTACTGGGACAGAAGCTTGGTCCCACTCTCCACAAGTCGTGTCAGCACTGTAATCCCTTCCATGTTGATGAACTCTGTGGCAAAGGTCACATCAGCTGAAAGTTTAGCCAGTTCCTTCATGGCGTCCAGTCGGGCTTCCATACTGTGCGACTGGATCCTGTCCATCAGCTGGCGAGCTGCCCTAGACTGGGAGGAAAGAGGAATCATGCCAATTAACAGACTAGTCACCTGCAGGCTGAGCTCTGCCAGCAACAGCTTTCCATCAGGAATCCATGAATGGGCAGAGGGAGCACAGCAAGAGCAGAAAAATACCAGCAACAACAGGATAAGTAGCAGCAGTTAGCAAGTCTAAGATAGACTTAAAAAAGTTGCACCCAGCAACAGTTATAGCCAGCAGAAGGTGAGTAAAATGCTATTTTACATGTTAGAGTAAATGCTTGGTTTTCTTCTTGGTGAGGTGAGTGGAGGTGGATATAGAAACAGAGCAAGACCATTAAAGAAATACAATGTCAAAAAAAAAAATCTCTCTCAGATATTCAAAGAGAAGCACGAGCTCATTTGGTGTGTGCACACAATATTCTGTAAAATTTTGTCAATGATATCCTCTCAACCACCTCTTGCACGAATAACTTCTCCCTTTTCTATTCGCTCTCAGCTATATGCCATGACACTTGCACAAAAAAAGTTTAAGAATTTCAGTAAAAAGGAAGCTTCAGCAATCCTGCAAAAGACAGCTGTTGAGGTCACAACAGCAAGAATTCACAAGGAACAACCCACTCTGCATCAAATTTGTCTCTTAATTTCTGCATTAAATCATCAGTACTATTTACTACTTTCCCACTAATAATACTGACTGCATCCACACACAGAACGTTTGCCAGGTGCTTTATAACACGCTAGTCTAGGAAATGCAATAAAAGGGTAGCATTTATTACAGAAAGTCCTGGCAAAGGGCAAAGCATCCAAACGAAAGATACACACCACAAACAGGAAGGAAAATAAGAGTGTGCACCTCACTGTACAATGTAGGGAGAAAGAAAAGCAGAGGCAAGAAACAGCCTGTCATATGAGGATAGCTACTGAGAAAAAGGGATGTGAGGAAGCATTTACCGGGGAGACTGCCAGCTGTAGGATAGTTCCATTCTTGATGTCACAGCGAGTCTAAAAGGAAACATAAAACTTCAAACCACTGGAAAGTGCAGGGAAAATAAGGCAGCTGGATCTACAGTGCACATAGGGATTCCTGTACCACACAACCCTACTGAGGGCATTGAGTCACTGGGTCCTTGCACCTATGGGCATGGAGAGGGAGAAGTGCAAGGTTCCTCATATGAATGACACCATTCAAGTCAAGAGTTTTTTTTGATAGAAGAGATGCTGCCCCTCAAGGATTAGTGACAATATTGTTCCATGACACTGGTCCAAGGCATTCTGCACCCTTGCCCAGGACATCAGCAAGTTGCTACCTCTCACACTGACCTGCTCTGTGATGTACAGCTGAGGACCATCAGCATACCGCAGGGTGTAATATTCAGGGTTTGGCAATGACCACCTGGCAGAGGAAGAAGAAGAATACGTAAACTTCCTCCTCTTTCTTCTTATTCTCAATTAGGAAGAGGAGCTTAACCCCAGAAGGGCTGAAAAGAACCTTTGAGCAAAGCTTTAGCATGGGAAATTAGGTCTCCCAAAGAGGAAAAAGCAACTTTCTCTTGAGAGGGAAATGGGACAGCCTGCTCTAAGTTAAGCTCTGTAAAACTGCTGACGAGGCCTGCACTTCACAAACAGCAAGATGGGCCAATCTTCAGAGACACTGACCTGAGGGGCATACATATGCACACACTCAGAATTGAAATGAAGATGCAAAGCCCCTGTTTTCCAGAAGATCCTTCTCAGTTTAAACCCTGGCCCATTCCATAGCCAAAACCAATAGCAGGCAGCATGGATTGTGCCAGCAGCACATTGACAAGCCACAGAGATTTTCCGTATTACCCCAGCAAGATTTGTCAGGGCAACAGGCTTTCTCCAAAAGGGTTCCCAGAGAACTTACCCATCACAAACCTCCTTGATGATGGATGCAAGAGGCCTTTTCTAGAACAGAAAGAGAGAGTCCTCAGTAGCCTAGTTCTCAGGTAGAAATAAATACTGCACATTTCTATGCTTCCCACATTCCAGTATCACAGCTGTGGCATTTTCTCCTCCACTTGGTTACCAGGTCTCACCTGATCTATTTCCAGCAGCTGGGCATTGGCACCTGGCCACTCAACAGCTACTTTCACAATGTCCGAAGGCGGTGGCATTGCTCCAGATGCCTTTACAACAGCTTACAACCCACACCTGCTAAGAGAAAGGATAGTGAGCAGCTCTGAAAACGGTCTCAATTGTTACATTGCATTGTACCAGAGATCAAGGCCTCACACTAAAACAGCACATAGTGAAACTGAATACCCAACCTTATAACCTAAGGAATACTTCTGAGAGCTTGCTGGGGTACACACACAGAAAGGAGAGTCGCTCTGATCAGCAAAGCCCCACCTGCTACCCCCTGTCTGCACTGCCAGGTCAGTTTAAAAGACTAGTAAAACAACAGCTCCTTTGACTCAGCTACTATCTATACATGAGAGAGGGAACATGCAGGCCAGGCAGCCTCCCTCCCATGGGCTTGTGTTTACTGATGCCCCATATTTCTGAGGTACCTTAATCCACTCAGGATACCCAAACAGGATCTTAGGCAGAGTAGCAGCACCTAGACTTATCCCAAGTCCCTTCCTATAACATCATAAATCCAAAACGTGAATGTCCATCGCAGAAGAAAAGTTAACTCAGAATTTGCTCTGAAGGTCTACCTTCTACTCCTTTATCTGCCTTAGAACATAAGCTTGTGTTCAGGGTTTGGTCCCAGACAGTTGTCAGACATGGTGGTTTGTGCTTCATCTGGTAGTAAGAGGCTGTAAAGAAACGTACTTGTTCAGTTCCTTTTTAATCCTCTCTTGGGTGGAGTGAGTAGTCCTGCTCTCTCGCACACACCAGAGAGAAAGTCACATGGGAGACAGACCACCCTCCCTGAGGACTTCCCACAGATCAGGAAAGACCAAGCAGCTGCAGAGATACCTGGCCCAGGAAACTGAACTCCATGACTGTCCTTGAAAATGAAGCTTCTATAAAATTAGTTGAGTCTACCACAAAAGCTGGGTATGCCTGGTCAGGATAGAATGTTGACCTAGAAACACACTAATGATCTCAATTAATGTAACTCATACACCACTTCGTTCCCTCACAGAGACTGGTATTGCTGCATGGAAAGACAGGACACTCAGGTGCACTGATGCTTCCCTGCATGTGTACATACACAGGCCTCTTTATAATCTCACAGACTGCTGTGACTGTCTTCTCAATCCAGTTTAGGCAGCTTCCTCACCTAGACTAACAGAGTACTATGATCTGGTGCAGGCTTCTGAGATACTGTTACTGCCTGCTGAAATTGAGGATGCAGGATGCAAGTTTAGCATTTCTTTCATAGCAGCTCCTGAAAATGCTCAATGTTATCACTGCAGCTACCAAGTCTCCACCAGATCAGACATAGTTACTTTACAATGAAGGTACTTGCTGCAGAGGAAAATCAGCCATTCCTCTATTAAACCAAGCACTGTTTACCATGAGAAGCCCTTCTGAAGCTGCCTTGATCAATTTATTCTCATCATGTGTATGGTCTTCGCAGTTCCTCCAGGAATCCAGGAAGCCTGAACTCCAAAGCCATCTGGGGCTTCAGCCAATTCAGAAGTGAGACTGGTACTGCACACGCATAGCAACACCATCCTCCTCCACACTTTACAACAGCCAGACTTTGTCCACTCTATCATTCCACCCCTCAGACAGTATCTGGCAGGCCAGATTCGAAATTCCATGATATTTTGAAAATGCATAGCTTACCTCAAGAGCTGGCTACAGTCAGTATTCCTCTGGCCGTCTCTCCTTTTTAGCATCAATCCCAAGAGCAGCTTGTTTTCTTAAAACCCATAAAATGACTGAAAGACTAAGCACATCCCATGGAAAAGTCCCAGTCAAGTTAGGTTCGCAATGAAGATCTGGCCTCAGAACAGCAACAGACTCAGTGCCTTAATCAGGTTGAGCAGGTCTTGGGGGTGATAATACAAAAGCATTTGCATGACTCCTATCACACAAAATTGCAAGTTAGAGTCGGGGAGTTTTACATGCAACACCTGATATTTTACTTCCTAATCCTGCAGGAAAGAAAACCAAGCCTTATCCCACCCCAAGATTCACTCTGGATAAAAATTTTACCACTCTCATCTTGACAACGAACAGGAAAGCCTGTCCTTCAGAAAAGGTGCATCAGGTAAAAAAACCTCCTGTTTGGACAAGCAGATTACACAAGGGAAGACTGCTCATATGAAAAGTCAATTAAATTAGTGTTTCAAAGAAGCCTTGACAGCCAACAGAGCTAAGTCACAGACAGCACAGAGTGTATGCTGGCCTATGGAAACACGGTCCCCAGATCCCATGAGCGTGGGCTAACATGCCCTTTCTTCACAAAATTTGATTGTCAATGTTCTATTCTCTTACTCCAATACAGAAACATGCTACTCTTTGCTAGGAGAGACCTGATAACTTGCAGCAAAGCATGTCCTCAAGAGGCCTCTAACCCTGAAGACACATGCAGCTGCTGGTGCTATTTTCATACCCTTTACAATCAGTAAATTGGGCTCTAGTCCTTTCTTCTACACTTATCCTGAACCATATTATCTTCTTGTCCAAAGTAATCTAGGAATTCAGGCAATGAAGTGTAAGGAACCCAAGACCAGAATAGCACTGTAGCTCACTGCCTAAGCAGCACAATGCACTAAGGCTTCTGCATACAGACAGGAACCAAGAAAGCTGAACCAATGTACTCTGTAGCATTGCCCTAGCAATTTGGAACACACCCAATCCTTCTGTCTCACAAAGAGGTAGATGAACCTAATAAAACTATGAATTGATTTGCCACACTTCTTAAATCACACATGCAAAAGAAAGAAATAAAAAATTATTTAGACTTTTAAATGTCTTGCAGCAGTAGCTCAAAACAGGCATAATTTATCTCTAAATCCTTAAGTCACTATGGTAATTACTAGTATACAAGCAGTAGGACTGCTCTGTACAAAGTCCCCAAAGTAGCCACTTTGCACAACCCCAGAACTGTAGGATATGTAGGTTTACATTCTACATGTAGTCTAGAAACAGACAAACAGTTCCCTAGTGGTATTTGATTTCCACTCACTGTTCTCCATTCAGCGACTAAAGTCTGTGATGGCCAAAATGTGAAAGCCTAAGAACTCTTAGTCATATGACATAAGCACATGTCAACTCCAATAATCAGACTGGCTTACAATAACTGAACAGATAATTACTTCTCCCATGAGTAAACTAATTCACAGCTAAAAACCGTCTAAATCCATTCAGTGTTCAAGGCACAGAATCATAGAATAGTTAGGGTTGGAAAGGACCTTAAGACCATCTAGTTCCAACCCCCTGCCATGGGCAGGGACACCTCACACTAAACCATGCCACCCAAGGCTCTGTTCAACCTGGTCTTGAACACCACCAGGGATGGAGCATTTACAGCTTCCCTGGGCAACCCATTCCAGCGCCTCACCACCCTAACAGGAAAGAATTTCTTCCTTATACCCAATCTAAACTTCCCCTGTTTAAGTTTGGACCCATTACCCCTTGTCCTATCACTATAGTCCCTAATGAGGAGTCCCGCCTCAGCATTCTTACAGGCCCCCTTCAGATACTGGAAGGCTGCTGTGAGGTCTCCATGCAGCCTTCCCTTCTCCAGGCTGAACAGCCCCAACTTTCTCAGCCTGTCTTCATACTGGAGGTGCTCCAGCAAATACACAGTGAAGAGACAAGGCTCAAAGATTGCTTCCTTGAGTACTAACAACTGAATCTGCAATTTTTCATTAAAATATCCATAATTAGCTTCTAATTACCACTTTTCCCTTCAGCCTCCAGCAGTGTGGTCACAGTCTTTTATTTGTACTGCAACCTGCAACATAAGTTTTTAGTGAGGAGTACAAAGAAAAGTACTTCACGTGCCAAAACAAAGATGTCCAGATTACTATAGATAAAAGCTTTTACAAACACCTAACTTGTCATCTACCTTGAAAAGAACATGCATCACTCAGGAAGAGAAGTGCACATTAAAACATTGATACTAGGGAAAATTCTGCAGAAATCATAGAATCATTTAGGTTGCAAAAGACTCTTAAGATCGAGTCCAACTGTGAAAACTAACACTGCCAAGTCCACCACTAAACCACGTCTCTTAAGCACCATATGAACAGAAATAAAGTCCCCTGTTTCATCAAAAAAAGTACTGCAGAGACTAGCTCCCAGCTCCCAGAAGCAATGCACTCTACGTGCAGCTTCCTCATACACTCACCACTGAAAACCAACTACACTGTAATTCATCGCTTTCAGATCTCAAAAAAAGCTTTCAGCTGCATGCAAACTCAGAAAGTAACTCATCAGAATAAGTTAGACTATTTCTGCCCAAAATTTCTTCCATAAGTAAGCACCTACTCATCAGACATTGAGTCAAAAAAACCCTTTGAAGTAGCTTTCCACAAGAGGACAAATACACAAAGTACTTCAAGTCAGCATGTTATCACAAGGTTGCCTGTCAAAAGTGTTTTTTTAAAAGATTTTTGCATGGCTGCAGACAAGAGAGGTGACAGATGTTGAATTTTACAATGATATTTTGCGGTGCACCAGTGGTGTATCTGATAAAATAACTGTCGGAAAGCTCTTGGGGAGAAGCACAGGCTGCCAGTTTGCATCATTTGGATTATCATTTGCTTACGGGTCACTCAGCACATTCTTCTCAACAACAGCACATAAGCAGTTATCACAGTTTTATACAGGAAAAGAGCAGCCAAGCTGAAATACATCAAAGATTAATTTACTCTGTTTCTACAGAGTAAGTTCCTTCAAACAACGCAGTGGTGTGGGGGGTAGGCTGCAAGACAATGAGAAATCAGCAGAGCCACTAATAACACACCGTTCAAGAGACTTCTAAGGAGCTGCAAGCTAAGGCAACTAGAGTACTTAAAATTTCCTTAGTCACAAACTCCATCTTTTTTTCATTACAGATAGAGAACAAAGTGTGCTGCACACAGAATGAAAATGAGGATGAAAGAACATTCCACGAAAAAGAAAAACTGCCTGGTAGAATACCACAGTTAACAAGAAAATAGCTGCAGCTTCTGAAACCTGCAGATGTGACAAAACATTCTGATCAGCTCTCCACAAGCCAAACAATAGCTGAAACAGATGTAGCAGAGACACTAACGGGGTAAGTGTGGAAAGACAGCTTCCTTGACTGAGCAGCATCAGAGGGCAGCAGACCGCAGAATCCAACCTGAGGATTATGTACAGCTTTCTACATTACCTCATAAAGCAAGCAAAGAGAAACATACTTTACTAGACAAACAAAAGAACCAGCCGGTCAGATTTTCCGTCTCTGGAATTCTACGTTCCTCCAAAGGCCTTCCACGGTTGCACTTTGGCTATAAACCACTAAGACTATGATACTGGATTCTCACCTTGCACATTCCACCACAGCCAGGCAGAGACAGAAAGTGAGCAACAAGCAAACCGCTCTTTCATTGTTAGTGAGGCAAGCTGAAAGCAGCCTTAGCCCAAAACTCAATTTAAAGCGCTAAACGACTGCTTGCCTGAGGAAGCGCTGTCTGCTCGCCTCCCGAGCAGCCGCGAACCGCACCCTGCGCGGCCCAACCGTAGCCCCTCCCCGGTCTCCGCAGCGGGCCCCGCACACTCAGTGCGCCGCGGATCCAGCAGCCGCAGCAGAGGCGGACACGGGCGCAACACGGGACCGGCGACCTCGCGGAAGACGACCCTAGGCCAGGCCCTCCCGGCAAGACAGGCCACCAGAGGAAGGACCGCGGCGGCGACGCTGCAGTGGGCCCAGGAAAGCAGCACCGGCGCCTGGACCCACCAGATGGCGGGTAGCGGTGTGCTGCCCTGCTCCCGGCGGGCTCCGGGCTCCCCGCCCCCTCCTACCGCTCTGCGCTCACCCGGCCCAGCCGCGGCCGCTCCGCGTCCGGCCGCCCGGCAGCTTCGGCGGCCCCCCCAAGGCGCCGGTGGCCACTGGTGCCGCAGGCTGTCACTCAGCTGCCTCGCCACCGATTGGCCGCGACACGCGCGTCACGCGCCCGCTGCCATGGAAACCGCGAGCGGAAGGCCCCGCCCCAGCACGACGCAGAACGGAGTTGCCGTGAGTCGCCCCGAGACCAGACCTTCTTCCCTCTCCGGTAGCCAGAATGAATTACGTTAACCGAGCCTCCCTGGCACCCGCACCCTGCCGCTCCTTCGGGGCAGCCGCGGGAGAGCTAACTTCAGTTCCCCGTGCCAACAATGCCCCGTGTCGGGGACTGGCTGCGACTGGCTAGGACCGGGTCTCCACCGGCTCACGCAGCGCAGCGTTCCTGCCACTCTGCTGACCACGGCTCACGGAGCTGGCAGCGAGCACCGGAGTGGTAGCGCGTTCGCGCACAGCATCAGGCTGAGCGAGACCACGGCCGCGGAGTAGCCTCACCCCACCCCAGCGGCTGGCGGCTCCCTGGAGCAGCTCCGCCCCGGAAGTACGTCAGACACGCGCCGGAAGGGAGCGGTGTGCTGCCGCGTGAGGGCGGGCGGAAGCCGTGGGCTCTGCGAGCAGGAGTTTCCGGCGGAGCGGGCGATACCTCAGGCGCGATCGGCGGCGGGAGCGCGGGAGTTGCAGTCATGGTGAGCTGCGCGCCGGCGGGCGGCACGCGCCAAGCAGCGCCTGTTCCCGGTGTAACCGCGGTGTCTTGCAGACGGTGGGGAAGAGCAGCAAGATGCTGCAGCACATCGACTACCGCATGCGGTGCATCCTGCAGGATGGGCGCGTCTTCATCGGCACCTTCAAGGCCTTCGACAAGCACATGAACCTCATCCTCTGCGACTGCGACGAATTCCGCAAGATCAAGTGAGCGGCGCGGCTTGCACTGGGAGTCCCGGGCGCTGCCTCCCGGTACCGGCTGCCTGCGGCGAGCGGGCCAGGGTCTGCTGCCCGCTTGTGCATCTGCAGTCGTGGTTTTAGCCTCGTTTGTCAAATCCCCAAACTACCGAGGCTAAAGGGGCACTTTGAGTTATTTCTTCATAACCGAATTATACTTTTACATCATGCCAACAGTTACTGAACAGTTGAGCATCATGGGGAAAAAAATCATGGAGATAATGCACATCTTGTGTTCTGCCTCGTCTATGTACTTAGTTTGAGGCATATAAAAATGGGTTTACAGTAGGTTCTGCTCTTGGAGTAGCCTACTTACGTATTCCATTGCAAAGTCAAAGAATAGCTTTGGGTTTTGTTTGGTTTTTTACCTCTGACTTGCAGTGTTTTCTTTCTCTTCTCACCAGACCTAAAAATTCCAAGCAGCCGGAGCGGGAAGAGAAACGAGTCCTTGGTCTTGTGTTGCTGCGAGGAGAAAACCTAGTGTCCATGACAGTTGAAGGACCACCTCCGAAAGATGTAAGGAGAATGAGCATAGAATTAAGGAGAAAGGGAAGGGATGTCTGATAAATTTGCTGCCTTGCAGAAGGATGCTACTACAGCGTTGTCCTCCATTTCCAGATGCTATTGTGATCAGGTCCAACAAATTTTTGCTGTAGGAAGCTGTCCAATTAATGACCAAGCCCACAAAGAGAGGGCATTAATTGGACAGAGGAAGTCTGTGAGCATTTCTAGGATCTGAAGATTTCTTTGTCAATAATGTTTCTTTTGGGGGCTCTGTTTTCAGACTGGAATTGCCCGAGTACCTCTTGCTGGAGCTGCTGGAGGACCAGGAGTTGGGAGAGCAGCGGGCAGGGGAGTACCAGCTGGTGCACCCATGCCACAGGCTCCAGCAGGATTAGCTGGCCCTGTCAGAGGAGTGGGAGGACCATCTCAACAGGTGAAGTGCTATGACCTGTTAAAATTGTTGTTTGGTATATTCTGGGGTGGCTTTTAATTCTTTGTACCAAATATGATGCAGGAAATTGGTGGAGGGACTGTAGCCTTAGTTTCTGTTACCAGGGAGTTTGAACCTGGCAAGGCTTTTTTGGTACTAGATCCCCCCTTGGAACTCAGTTTTGTATGACAGAAGACGAGGCTTGAAAAGTATAGCTTCTCGCATGAAATTCAAGTATTATCCCTTGAATTGTATTACAGGGTTTTAGCATTATTCAGTACATTAAAAGGGGAGTAGCATAATTTATAAAGGGATAATGATGAATGTTGCATATTTTTTAGGTATTAATATAAAGCAGATGTTATGCTGTTTCTTTGTGAACCTCTGTCTTGTTTGCAGGTGATGACACCTCAGGGTCGTGGAACAGTCGCAGCTGCTGCTGCTGCAGCCACTGCGAGCATAGCAGGAGCCCCAACTCAATACACACCAGGGCGTGGAGGTCCTCCCCCACCCATGAGCAGAGGAGCACCTCCTCCAGGTAAGAATTGCTCTATAGAGGGGGCAGAAAGGAGCTTGTGTCATGTGGCAAAACTGGTGATAAAAAGATGTTTATCAAATCTGCTCAAGAGTTGGTATTACGGAGGATTTTTCTGATATCCAGCTAGTGCCTTGAATATTCAGCTGGGTCTATATGCTTATTCTTTCTCTGGCTTAAGGAATGATGGGACCTCCTCCTGGCATGAGACCACCTATGGGCCCACCAATGGGAATGCCACCTGGCCGAGGCGCTCCTATGGGAATGCCCCCACCAGGCATGAGACCACCACCCCCAGGAATGAGAGGTGAGTGGAGGTTATCTTAAATGCCTAGAAGCTAGAAGCAACTGTAACAAATGTCCGAAGGGTGATATGTTCTAGTGCCTCCCTAGCTCTGGTAGTTCAGTAAATACCTCAGTGCAGAAAAAAGGGTCCCTAAGGCCACTTTGAGCATGGTGAAGAAAATGTTTCTGGTTTAGCTTTGCTGCTTCTTTCCTTTTCACTACTTAAGTCTGCTTTATTCTCAGGACCCCCTCCACCTGGCATGCGTCCACCAAGGCCATAAGCTACCCTATAACATACCTTAAAACTGAGGGAAGACCAGTTAAAGGAATGTACCGAGCAGTACTGCCTGTCAGAACCTTGCTATGTACATTTTAGATTCGCTGCTTGTGAAGTTTGCCTTTTTTAATAAAGTTCGAAAACCCCAGCCTTCACTGGTCTATTTCAGGAGTGGAGCTGTTATTATTCACTGCTGTGCTTTGGTCACCCCAGAAGAGGAGGGGGTTTGAGGCAAAACCCTCAGTTTGTAGTAACAGCTGAAACATTACCAGTTGATACGGGCTGCTTAAGTCTATTTCTTATGGGAATTAAAACATATCCACATAAGTTTATTAAGGCTGATGGAGGGGAGGGGAAAATGTTGGGGTGGTGGAAATGATAAAAATTCAAAGAAAGAGTTTTAGCACTTCACTGTTCTGAATTCTTACAGTGGAACAAGTATAATGGTGTCTGTATTAGTGTCATGGTTTAAGCCCAGCCAGTAACTCAGAACCACGCTGCCCCTTGCTCACTCGCTGCCTTCTTCCCCCACTCCCAGAGGGATGAGGAGAACGTGAAGAATGTAACTCCCATGGGTTGAGATAAGAACAGTCCAGTAACTAAGGTATAACATAAAACCACTACTGCTACCACCAATAATAATGATAAGGGAAATAACAAGGGGAGAAAATACAACTGCTCACCACCTGCCTATCTATTGACCCAAGCATTGATCTGGGCCTTCCAGGTAACTCCCCCCAGTTTATATACTGGGCATGACATGCTGTGGTATGGAATGCCCCTTTGGCTACTTTAGGTCAGGTGTCTTGTCTCGTTTCCTGCTGTCTTCTTGTGCCCCTCCTCACTGGCAGAGCATGAGACTGAAACTCCTTGATCAGGGTAAACATACCAACAACTAAAAACATTGGTCTGGTATCAGCACTGTTCTGAGGCTGAAGTTGAAAACACAGCACTGTACCAGCTTTGAAGAAGAAAAATAACTGTTACAGCTGAATCCAGAACAATTAGGAACAGTGATCTCTGATGCTCTGTGTTAAGCTTGATCATTACAGGTGGAGCTGCATTGTTTCTAGTCAAAAAAGCAAGCTAGGCTACACAAACCGATCATTAACTACATACAGTAATGTAAACCAGCCTGCATTCTGGTTGTTGCCTTCACTTCATAGCTGCTTCTCAGTAAGGAGGGAGCTGTGTGCCTGCCCCCTCCTCCCCTTTTGGAAATAATCCTTTCTTCTGAGAGTAGTCTCTTGGAGTTGTTTTATTTCGTGAAGCCATTGTTTCAGAAATAGGCTCTTAACTGTAGAAATCCTTTTCAGCCAGATTCATTAATTGAGACCACAGAAGTACATGAACAAAGCACTATCTGGTCCAGGCTTTGCCCTAAAGACAACTTGACTTTCATGAACTAGACGTCTACTAGAAAGACGGAACACATCCCAGCTCTCAATTGCTCTAGCTATTCTATAAGCAGAGGAAATGTTTTTTTGGGGGGGGGAATCCTTTATTGCATGGTCTGCTGAAGACGTTTTCACACAGGATCTTCAAACAGGTATTAACAAACATCCCAAAGCTATTCCAGAACTTTAAGAAAAACTATTCAATTTTACTGAAGTTGTCTCCTTGCAGCACAAAGATAGCATGTTTGATTTACCCATCTGGTAATGGCCAACAGTTCTTACTTTCTCTTGTACCTGAAAGAGAAGACACTTGAAATGACATTCCATCAGCCCAACTCTGAATGATTGATAGAAAATGCTTAGTGCTGTTCCTTATCTAGGCAATGCTCTCCCACATTAACAGCACATTCCTAGGCTTTTAAGGCAGTATCCCTGATTGCCCCAGCGCTAGACCTACAGTAAGACTGCAGAACCAACCAACGCTTTAGCAAGGATGTTTAAACAATCACAAGAAGAGGAAAGAGAAAGCAGGGGGGGTAAATCTTGAATAAGCAAGTAAAAAGAGCTATACCTGGACTTGGATTTGAAGTTTCCTCCTTTCCTACGCTGCGCCATACCCAAGCGTTTTCGATCTTCATATGAAGGGCTTTTTAAGAGAGGAGAGAGGGGGAGGCAAGATAAAAAACACTGAAGTACATCAGTAAGCACAGGTACATATTGTGACACTCCCTTCTCTGCTCTGCCCACCTTTTGCCATAATATCCCTTGAAGTATCCCTGAGAAAGTCCAGAGATGCAAAGAAAAAAATTCCCATCTACTAACGTGTGGATCATGTACTACTGTAAGCCATTACCCAGCTCGATACTGCTGCAGTGCCCTCCTGCTCGTGTTGGTGAGCTCTTCATCAAACACAGACACTTTTTTCTTCCTTTTGGGGCCTAACAGAGACAACAGTCAGAACATTCACTGTAGAGAGATGGGCACAACATCACCTGGTTTACTAGAGCCCAGTAGCTTTGACCACATAGTTAGGCTAACCATCAGGAAAAGCAAACGTGCACCCTGGCCAGCACCTGTGGCCATTCTTTCACAGATCAGTGTCTCTAAACAAATTAGTTTGGTTTACCTGTTTGTAGCAAAGTAAGTGACACAAAGTAAGTCAGCTGTAAACCAAAAATCTCCACCTGCTGGTACTGCTGCTGGTTCCTCTTCTGGCAAGGCTCTGGCTCGCTTTGCTCGGCGATTCCTTTTTGCCAGCCGCTCAGCATACATTTGAGATTTTAAGATTTCAAACTGTGACCTCTCCTCTGGCTGAAAGGTGTTAAAATGCAAGTTTGCAGTGACGTGAGGTTTTGCCAAGGAAAACTAGGATAAGTCCGCTCAAGTTCTTGCTTGTCCATAAATATACTCACTGTCATTTGGACCTTTTTCTGTCTATCCTGCATAAATTTCTTCCTTTTCTTTTTGCCTCGTAATGCTAAGTCAAACTCCTGCAGGGCTTTAGCCACTGGAGAGGTAAAGAAAAACAGAATAAAGAACCTCTTAAAGTACAAAGCAGAGTCCAATTGTAACTATGGAATTTAAAATGGCAGCAGTGTCAATGACTCACATTTCTCTTTTTTCCTCTCCTCACGGGTCTGAAACCAACTCCGCTCCAAACCATCACCCGCAGTCTCTTGCTTTCCTGTCTCCAGCTGCTTCTTTGCCTTATTGATCTGAGATAATTCAGGCAAAAAGTGAGCTCATGGTGGATAAAAAAAGATCTCTCTTTTCTAAAACAGGCAGGTTAAGTACATTACAGCAACCTCCTTACGTACTACAGCCACTCCAGATCCTAAAAAAATTAAGGTAAAAAAAAGTAATTCCTAAAACAAAGCTTACCTGGGCCTCTGACTGCTGCATCTCACGTTCCTCACGCTCCAAGCACAGAACTGCATAAACATCTTTCTCTAGATTCTCAATCTTCTCTCGAAATTTTAGTATGACATCTGAGAACAATACAGCATGAACATTAGAAGCAGCTCATGCAAGTCTGTCGTATTTTTCAGTACATCTCTCAGTGTGCCTCTGTACCACAATATTTCCTGTGTACTGCTCTCCTGCTTTTTACCTCAGTGAAGTGTGTACCTTGAGGGAGAATTCTGGCTTTCACTGCTGTCTTGGCAGTCTTCACAATATCCTTCAGCATCTTGCGCTCTTCCTCACCCACAAGTGAAACTGAACGACCAGCCCTGCCTGCTCTTGCTGTCCGACCCACTCGATGAACATAGTGCTTAATGGTGTTTGGCATGGTAAAATTGATTACCTATAGCAGGAAAACTATTAGTAGGGAAACAACATTAAAGGACTCATTAAAAAGCTCAACATTGCAAATACTCACTGTTTTAACACCTTCAATATCAAGTCCACGTGCAGCCACATCTGTAGCTACCAAAATATCAATCTGCTCATCCTTAAAGCGCCTGAACAGAGACAGCAAATGCATTAGCAATTAATACAGCCATCCATTTCTACTCAAGTATTCTGCCTCCTAACTTCTCTTTTGCCCGTGACTGCCAACTAAGCCTGCTAATACCTGAGTGCTTCCAGACGCTGTGCCTGAGAGAGGTTCCCATGAAGCTCACCAACCCGCAGACCCATCAGCCCCAGTACGATGTGCATACGGTGAGCTTGCTTCTTGGTCTGGGTGAAAAGCATCACATGATCTGGGAAGGTTCGAGTCAGAAGAGCTGAAAGAAAGTCTTCTCAGGAGCCTGCTTCACAGTTACCTGCCGGTTCCAGCTTTTCTTTGCTTATCACTAACCTGATACAATGGCCTCACGATCCCCCTCCCGGTTGGGTCTGATCCGGATAAATTCCTGCCGCAGGAAAGGGGCAACATCTGTGTTGCTGTTCACAAAAATTCTAATGGGATTTTTCAGGGAAACAGAAGCCAAATCTTTCACCTACCGAAACAGATTAAGAGAAAAAAGTTCACATAATCTCTGGTAAAAGATTACACAAAGCTGTACTCAATTTTCTGCCACAATAAGTCTCTCAGCAGCTTATCTTACCTCCTCTGTCATTGTGGCAGAGAAAAGCATTGTCTGGCGGTGGTTGGAACACAACCTGATTATTTCCTTCATCTGTTCCTCAAAGTATTCATCCAGCATCCTACACAGGAGGAAAACAGCAACGTAAGGCAGCTTCATTTGATTCTAGCTAAGAAACATTATTTAAGGCAGGGCAACAAAGACTGCCCTACAGCCTGGGAAATGGAAAGCAAGAAACTACCCTCTCATTTTTCACTGCTGACCTGCTTAGCTTACCTGTCTGCTTCATCCAAAATTAGCACCTCAACACTGCTCAGATGAAAAGAAGGACAGTTGTGGAGATGATCAATCAGTCGCCCAGGAGTGGCAATAAGAATGTCCGGCCCAGAGCGCAGAGCTGCTTCCTGAGTCTTCACATCCAAGCCACCTGAAAGAAAGCGAACATGGACTACTGACTACCTCAGTAGGATGCACAGATGCAAACTGCCTGAGGAATGGGAAACAATTCAGATTAAAACCACATTCACAATAAGAAGTGACTCCACCTTTTCTTCCTCAGAAACCAACAAGTAAAAAGCGTGGCACAATATTAGAAATAAAATTTTAAACCACAGTACACCCACTAGAAGCGTACCTGCAATAACCATAGAGTCTCCAGTTTCACAACAGTGCAGCAGTTTACAGTGAGCTGTACAGTTCACCTGACCAACTTAACACTCACCTACAGCAAGGCAAGTTGTGATGCTGCTGAACTGTGCCAGCTGTTTTGTGACAGAGTGCACCTGAATACCCAGTTCTCGTGTTGGCACAAGAACCAGCACCCTTGTTACTGGAGCCTGGCGAGGCTTATAAATCAGGCGTTCCAGGACAGGCAAGATGAAGGCAGCCGTTTTACCTAAAGAAGAAGAGGAAGAATTACCAATTATTGTGAATATCTAACTTTCGATGTTTCCTGTGCCGTGCTCAACCCCCTACCTGTCCCAGTGGCAGCACAGGCACAAATATCCTTCCCCAGAAGAGCCACTGGGATACAAGCCTTCTGAATTGGAGTCGGTTGCTTGAAGCCAAGAACTGTGATTGCCTACAAAGGACACACAGCAATTAAACTCTGCCTCTAGTATAATCACACCTGGAATACTGTGCCCAGTGCTGGGCTCATCAGTACAAGAGACATGGACATACTGGAGTACAGCAAAAAGACACAAACATTATATGGGACTGGAGCACCTCACATACGAAGAAATGCTGTGAGAGCCACGACTCTTCAGCCTGGAGAAGACATGGGGAAAATCTTATCCATGTATATATGAACAACTGAAGTGTGAGTGAAAAGAGGACAAAGCCAGGCTCTTTTCAGTGGTGCCCCATGACTGGACCAGAGGCAATGGGCACAAACTGGAAATGCTTTTTCACTGTAAGGGTGACTGAGTGCTGGCACAGGTTGCCCTGACAGGCTACAGTCTCCATCCTTAGGGATACTCAAAAGCCATCATCTGGACATGGTCCTAGCCAACCAGTTCTATGTGGCTCTGTCTGAGCAGGGGGCTGGACAAGATGACCTCCAGAGGTCCTTTCCAACCTTGGCCATTCTGTGATTTTGTGACAAGTCTTACTCAAGACAGTGTCAACACTCTGCAGTTGAAGAGTAGTTTCCTTTGTTTGGGAATAATAGCTCCCAAAGGGCTATCACACTAGCTCCCATAAAATTTCCTTTTCAGAGAGGCTACAAAGAGAAGAGAATTTGACAATTCTGATTGGTGTACAACATTCTTCAGAGTAACATGTAATAACTAAACTAGGTAAATACCTTTAGCAAAGGTCGTGAAAGATTCATGTCCTGGAATGACAAGTTATCATCATATTGAGACGCATCTTCAAAAAAGCTCCCTGCTTCCTAGAAACAGCAACACGACCACCACAACATGTTACCAATGGGCTCTGGGCTGTTTTTTTTGAGTTCACTTTGTTAAGCAAAGTCAAATTCCTCCACAAGAAACAATGGAAAATGACCTAGTGTCACTCTGTCTAACACTTACTATTTCTCCCTTTTTTGATCTCCTCCATTCCTTCACTTTGACTGTATCTGCAGAGAAAGAGAAACATTATAGTAATTGACAAGCACAGCTAAACACGTAACGAGATATGGCAATGAACATAATCTCTTTTTTTTTTGGTCTGGATGAGTTATTGAGGGAGAAGCCTCAGAAACAAGTACAGGCAGGCAACAGAGTAAAATGCTCAAACAAAATCAGAAGCAATATCACAGAAGGAAGACAACAAGTTCTTGCTCACTCCCAGCAAAGTTTCACTACAGACTTTTCTCTAGTGAGCCAGAAGTCTGTCAGATTCTTGCCCCTCAACCATCTCCCTATGTACTGCTAATACCTGCTTTTGTGAAGATAGCTTCATCATCCAATAAACACTGAGACTCCACATCTTCTTCATCCCTACTGAAATCCTCACACTCCCTCTTTATGTGATTATCCTGAGTCTCCACATCTTCATCTCTCACTTTTGCTTGCCCAGCCTCTCTTTCCTAAGAAGAGATTAAAAAAAAAAGGTTTTAAAAAATAAAGGATAAAAAAAACATCAATCCTTTGTGAGCTTTGGTTTGTTGCTATTATCAGCCCCTTCATAGATCCATGGTTTTGCATAACTTTAGGCATTAACAATTCTGCATTCCCATCAGGTGTGGCTGCAAAACCAGCTGAGGTCATGAGCTCAGGATGCTGTCAGCGCCTGTGCCCCTGGAGAGAAAGCAGTAGGAGGCCAAACCCGTGCAAGTCTTCAGTAATAAGAAAGAAAGGCTCTGACCTGGAACTTCCTTCTCTGTCTCACTTTCTCAATCTTCTCATCCAGTGTCGTAGCTGCTCTCTAGGCAGAAAATCACAAAAGAAGCTCTGTAATAAATGCACGGGAAATCCTGGGGCACTGTGCTTTGACACTGCGGCCCCGGCCTCAGGCCTCACCTTGCTACGGAGGTGGCGCAGCGTTTCCGCCCAGGCGTCTTCCCCACCGGCCTCCGCCTCACCAAAGACGAAAGCGGCGCTGAAGTCCCCGCCTGTGGGCCCGCGCCGCCTGGGACCCGGCGCCCGGAGCAGATCCTGTTACAATACCAGTGAGCAACACCCGCAGGATGGTCAAATCCTACCACGCAGACGCAGACGCAGACGCAGACGCGGACCCGGACCCGGACCCGGACCCGGACCCGGACCCGCCGCGGAGCGATGCAACCCAACCCGCCTCGACGCAAGGTGGGCCAACCCTGCGCGATCCAATTCGAACCGGGCCCCGCACCAGCCAATCCAGCCCGGCCCCACCTCCTCATTCTCGGAGTCGCCAGACTCGGGGTCCTGAGGCCCCACGTCCCCCTCTTCGATGGTGCCCACCAGGCCTAAACTCTGCAGCATGGCCGCAGCCAGCAGCTCCACCCCAGCACCGCTTCGCTCCCCGTCCTCCGGATGCCGCGCATACGCAATGGCGGCCAGACGCGCGCTTGTGGGTGGGGCAGTGGCTGCCCCTCCCTGCCGTGCGGGACACAACCTGGGAGCCGTGGGGCGGGGTTGTGTGATGACTGCAGAGCGCCTGTGGCTTCCCCTGCGCCCGGCAGCGGAGTGTTGCCCGCCGGGAGTGTCTGAGCCGGGCCGCGTCCTGTAGTAGGGCTAGGGTTAGGGTTAGGGTTAGCCAAGGGCTAGCACAAGAAATTGAGTGTAGCAAAGACTGCAGGCTGCACTTGCGGGGAATTCTGTTCTGCATAGGAATTCTTAAGTATCTCATGCGGGAGGATAAACTAAAACCTCTACAAAGAGTACCAGACTTCTACAAGCGTGTAGCAGACCTAACCGATTCTATGAGCAGAATCGATGCAAGTGAGAGGAAGGGGCTGAGAAAGCGGCTGGAGGAAGTCCAGGGGTGGCTGCATGAGCCACAGCTCAGTTTTACAGCACAGGATCTCTCTGACCTGCAGCCTGAGACCTGGCAAGCTGCAGAGGGCCAGTGCGATGATAGACCCAGCACTTGCAGCAGAGATTGCCAGTGCCTGTGAGATCCTGGAAGGGACAAAGAAGTTCACAGAGGAGGATGAGGCTACTGCAAAGGCTGACCTGGAGAGGCTTTGTGCTGCCTTGCCTGTGTCAGGATTGGAGATCTCTTAAGCTGTGCAGGTGCAAATTGTCACTGCTGTTGGCTGTCCCCCTGGACACTGATTCAAGTGCAAAAATGGGCATGTCTGTGACTGGGAGCTGTGGAGAGACAATGGAGAAGAGCAAGTGACCAGAGCCAAGCAGTCACTGGCGGAACAAACAACAATCTAGACAGCACTAACAGCCTCGCCTCTGAGATGAACACTGCGACCCACGCACCATGCTCTGAGGCGACCAACAACCTGCTCAACGCAGAGGAGCTGCGCTGGCTGTAGGCGTCTCTTCTGCTCCTCTTGAGCCGGGGACACCGCTAACAACGTGCTGGGACGCGAGCGGTCCCGTCCGCGCCTCAGGGCACCCGCTCGCCGGAAGAGGCGGTGTAGCGGTCTGCTTTTACCCGGAAGCGGACTTGACGCACAGTGCGTCGGTGACCGGAAGGGGCGGGGTGTAAGGCTGGCACCTCTCGAAGCCATGGAGGTGAGGGAGCCGCTGCTGGTGCTGCGCGGCGCGTTACGGGCGGTGCTGGCACGGGTCCGAGGTGGGTTTTGGGGCCGAGCAGGGTCAGGGCCGAGCAGGGTCAGAGCCGAGCTGATTCTTCTCTGACTGAGCTTTCTTTCTACCGTTACAGAGGGCGAACCGGGTGAGGGCCGTGAGCCGTTCGAGCTGCCGCTCTTCTGGGACGCGCTAGGTACGGGTAGTGGAGCGGGCCGGCGGTGGGCCGCGCGCGGGGTCGGCCGCGCAGAAGGTGCTGAGCTGGGTCAAGACCGGCGCGGGTCTGTCCTGCGGGAGAAGTCCCAGAATGTTTCTGGCCATGGCCTTGGAACTTGCCCTTTATTGCAAGGCGCTGGCGTTGGTATAGCAGCTGCCAGTATCAAACAGTTGATACAAAACAAGCTACAAAGGGGCTTGGAGCAACTTGATCTAGTGGAAGGTGTCCCTGCGCATGGCAGGGGGTTGGAAGTAGATGAGTTTTAAGGTGCCTTCCGACACAAAGCACTCTGTCATTTTATATTTTTGAAAACATTTGTTCTCAGTTAAAGCCCCACAGCACCCTGGTGGAAGGTATCATGGACCAGGACTCAAAGTGTGGTTGTGGATGTCACTACCAGCTAAGTAAAAAAAACATGGAATAAACACGGCACAAATGTATTAAGGAATTTTTGTGTATTGCTTGGAAGGAAGGAATTATAATCAAGCAGCAAGGCAAAGTAGCATCAGAGGTGTTGCTCATCTGGTTGCTCTGTGCTTTCATCTTTTGCCCAAGTTGCTTTCTATTCTTTTGTTCCCATTGGATCCTTTCTAGGTCAGACATTCAAAGTAACATCACAGGAAGCTACAAAGCTGAGTTTGGCATTTTCAAGATCTCCACTGACTTCTGCTGAGGTGAGTGAAAGCCCTCACAGAGTGAAATAGCAGTGTGTATGACAAGTTTCAGATCTCTCTTAGTTCATTTGACTAAACTCATTTGGTTCATCATAAAATAGGGATGTCTGGGTGGACTATCCACTGTAAGGTATATTAATGAAGTTCAGGAATTCTCCAGAAAACTAATTTCTGTAAGTTATGAAGACATACCGAATAGAAGTAATTTTAAATTCTTTAATATTGAAAGCTGATTGCTGATAGATACGGGATATTGGACAGTACAGACCTTAGATCTAGCTTTCCAGTACCTGAAGGGGGCCTGCAAGAATGCTGGAGAGGGACTGTTTACAAGGGCCTGTAGGGACAGGAAAAGGGGGGATGTCTTTAAACTGAGAGAGGGGAGATTGAGATGAGATATTAGGAAGAAATCCTTGGTATGAGGTTGGTGAGGCCCTGGCACAGGGTGCCTAGAGAAGCTGTGGCTGCCCCATCCCTGGCAGTGTTCAAGCCCAGGTTAACACAGGGTCTTGGAGCCACCTGCTCTAGAGGAAGGTGTCCCTGCCCATGCAGGGGTTGGAACTGGATGAGCTTTAAGGTCCCTTCCAACACAAACTAGTCTGTCTTTCTATATTTTTGCTGTTAATTCGGAGACATTTGTAACACCTGTGTTTGGATGAGAAAAAAGAAAGCCATCTAGTTCAGAATAATGATCTAAGGTACTTCTCCTTAATGCATGACTGCTACATCAGGACATGTTTTGCTGCAAATCATGAGGTGACTTAAGATGTATGCAGCTTGCTTACTGTATCTTCTTGTGCTGTATTTGTTTCTCAAGCAAGGTGGCTATTGCTGTGCTTCCCTTTTCTCAAAGCAATCTGAATGTGATTGCTTGTGAGACCACCTAAATTCTGTACAGCCATGGACTATTCACAGTTAACCTTTTACCTGTCCATTTTCAGGATTGCCAGAAGCTGAGTGAAGATGTCCAAAATGCCATTCTTGCAGTTGCCACAGTGTACTACTGGCTCCCCAAAGGCCAAGGTGAGATAATGACAGCAGGGCAGGCACCAATATATAGGGTGCTGTTTTTTTCGCCACTGTATAAAGAAACCCAGTATTTCAGTGCCTAATGTAAGATCTGGCATCTGCAGGAAAGCAAGTTATCTTGAGCAGGTAGTCCCATTATCAGCTGTTCTGTAGACTGGCAACATGTTTGAGTGAACCACTTTTCTGTCTACTTTTTTAGATTTCCATCTGTGAAAGAGTGATAATGTTGAAAGTTGTATAGTTGATTGAGTGTTCATATTTATAAAGTTTTCATGTTTATGAAGTGTTGAGATCCTTGTCCAAAGTAATTTATAACTTCATTTATGCAGTGTATCCACACAGATTAAGCAGTCTATGTGTCCATCTTAGGAGTTGCTTTCTGTTGGTGCTGCCTTTGTGGCAACTTCCTTGCTCTTTCTCCATATTCACCAGGTACTACTCTTCGGAAGATGGTCCGAGATGCTACCACTGAAGTAGTGCAAGGAATGATCCAACTCACAGAAACAATTCTCAGTGCTCCATTGGAGAGGTAGTGATTTTAAAGGGGAAAAAAAGGAGAGAAAGTTACAAGCATACTTGTTAGGAAGCTGCAAGTGCAGACTGCTTCCTAAGGGAAGGGGGAAGGCAGAAGCAGAGCATTGTTATGAAGCAGGAAGAGGCAGTGGCCTCATCATCAAAGACCCTGTACCCCAGTGCCTGAGTGAGCAGAGCAGTGCCGGTGAGGTTCAGTTGAGAGTCCAGATGATAAGCCTGTAGCAGTGAGGTCAAGCTGGAAAGTCAGTCCAACTATTCAGGACCAGGGTGAGCTCCAGAGAGATTAAACAGCATCATGCACCATCTAGTGATTGCCCAGCACATCTGTTACAATGAGCTGGGTCTGAGGTGAAGGCAGGCAGGTCAAATCAGTTGGTCAGGATCCAGGTCAGAATCAAAGAGAAGTCTCATACCCCTTTGATATGAGACTTCTACCTTTTATATAGCCAACTAAACTGGGAGGGTGGAAGGCACTTCAGGGCCCTCACAGTGCCCTCTTGTTCCAGTGACCTGAGTCAGGTACATTTGTCTTCATGGAGAATAGGTTTTCCTCCTGTCTGAGACAAGAAAAGATGCTGAAAGGAGTTTTACAATGAAGGTGCTGCATAACATTTACTCTGGCAGTTTTTGCCCTTGGAGTGAACTGTCATACCCAGTGATTCTGTCACTTTATAAAGCTTGTCACTGGACTGATACAGACTGCTTCCTCTATGCATTACATGCCACTGCCCTTAGGCAGAGGTCAGCAGTCTCTAATACAGACTTCTGGTTTGCCTAGATACTGAAAGATACATGCCTAAGCACCTTGAGAGGCCTTTGTAAGAGGCTTCTGCTTCTTCTTCCAGTGGATAATTAAACTCAGGAGAAACAAGCACTTTCAGCTTTACACAGACATGAAATACTAGTGACAAGCTGGTTGGTGACATCTGTCCAGCAGATGGTGTAGAAAGTAAATAGCCTAGCAGAGTGGTGTTACTGAGTTTAACTTGGGGGGGGCTTTGTTTCGTTTCAGCTTGTCTCAGGAACAGCTTGTATCAACTGGTGGTGTGTGGGAGGCATGTGAACAAGTGTCCAGTCTTCCACGAGGTGAGTATTGTATATGCAGAACAACAGAACTAGGACGTGTTGTCTTGGAATATCAGTAGCCCTTGCAAGGGACATTCTAGCTACTACAGTGAAGGGTCACTCATTCTGGAAAACCTGTCTGCCTTTGAAATGCTTAAAAACCAGGCCAGATGCTTTGCATTGCAGCAGTGCAGCTCTGAGCTCTGCAAAAAGTTTGATCCCATAATCTCAAGGCCTAACGATTGCAAACCAAGATGAATGTTGTTGCAAACTGATTTGAATTGGTGTAGTGCCACACTTTTCATCCTTTTACATTTGCAGATAACCAGGCAGCAGTTGTGTCAACTCTGGCTGCATGTCTAGGTGTGGTCAAGGATGCTCTGGAGGAGATGGAGCATGTAAGGAAGCCCCTCAGCTTTTGAGGAACCTTCAGTGGTGAATTGCAGTGATGTTTTAGTGATGGAATACAGGGTTTGTTTTATGTATGGACTTTGGTTTAAATTTGTGGTGATATGACTTAGACTGGTTCTGTGATCTAGCTGGATTTTAATGAGTGTTTAAACTCAAGCCTTCTTTACTTTATAAGGTTTCCATAAAGCTATGTCTTGAATTGCTTGGGGATGTTGGGACAGCAGGGCAGGTTGATGTAACAATGGCATTACTTGCCAGATTCTTGCTGTTAGCTGTGTTGAATTGGGTTGGGGGATTAGTTTTTCTTAATCGAGTCTTGCTAGGGTTAACAGAATCTGGTAACTGAGGTTCTGGTTGGAGAGAAATTCCTCCGTAAACTAGTTGTGTGATTTCTAGAGTATGTTTTCCTCCTGTGTATTGCTGGAATTGCTATTAGGCTCTGGGGTTTCAGTGTGTCTGTATTCTTAGGCTCTGGTGGAAGGGCATGACCCGTACAGTGACATCATGGAAGATGAGGAGCTGGGCTTTCGAGGTAACAGAGATACGTATTGGTCAGAAGCTGACCGGAAGCTGCTTAGCTCCTGCATGGGATTAATGAAGGCTTCTAAAGCTTGCCTGAAGAAGGTCTTGGGTGTAGTGAAGGCTTATGGGAAAGCTGATTCTCCAGACCAGGTTGCTCAGCTGGACGATCTTGCAGACATTGCTAATGAGATTAGTCCAAGGTAAGCAGGTATCTCCCTTTTGCCACTTTTGCTCCAGAGCAGTCCCTGTCCTTGAGGTGTAGAGAACAGATTAGGAAAACCTTGTATGATACTGAAACTGTTGAATGGTGGTGGAAGCAGGTGTGGTGGGAAGACTATTAACGTATAGGCTGTTTAGAGCTGTGCAAGATAGGAGAGAAGCATAGAATTAAGTAGGCTGGAGAAGACCTTTAAGATCATCAAGTCCAACTATTCCCCCAGGATTGCCAAGGCCATCACTAACCAGTGTCACTGAGGGCCTCATCCACATGGTTTTTGAACACTTCTAGGGGTGGTGATTCCGCTACTGTCCTGGGCAGCCTGTTCCAATACCTGACCACCCTTTTGGTGAAGAAATTTCTCCTAATACCAGTTTAAAAATTCCCTGGCAGAGCTTGAGGCTGTTTCCTTTTGTCCTATCACTTGTTATCTGGGAGAAGAAACCAGACACCTCTTCTTTCAGCTAGTCGTAGAGAGCGATAAGGTCTCCCCTGAGCCTTCCACACTAATCTCCTCGAGGCACCTCAGCCGTTCCTCATCATACTTGTCCTCCAGTCCTTCACCAGCCCTATTGCCCTTCTCCTCTGGACCTGCTCCAGCACCTCAATGTCTCTCTTTTATTGAGTGGCCCAGAACTGAAGGCAGGATTCGAGGTGTGGTCCCACCAGTGCCCAGTACAGGGGGATTATTATTTCCCTGGCCCTACTGGCTATGCTATTTCTGATACAGGCCAGGATGCAGTTGGAATTCTTGGCTGCCTGGGCAGAAGTTGGCTCATGTTCAGCTCTATCAATTAGCACTCCAAATCCTTTTCCATGGGCAGCTTCCCAGCCAGTCTTCCCCAAGCCTGTTAGCAGCACTTTGGTATGGAGTTGTGGCCATGTCTCACTGTCTCACTCTTGAGGTGAGAGTGGCATGCACTTGTCTGAGAAGGCAATGAAAAGTATCCCATGGTTGTGACTGACATTGTGTCCTCCTTATGCAGTGCTGTTCCTGATACGTGTTCAGGGTGGGTGTAAGCTTTGACCAGGATGCATGAGTTGTGCTATCAGTACTTTTATTCCATTGCTCCCCTCTTCTGTTCTAGTGTTGATGAGCTGGCACTGAGCATGTATCCACCTATGAACCAGCTGGCTGTGCGGCTTAATGTAAGTATCTGCAGCCTGCATGCAGCTCTACTCACTTGGCTGTAGAGAAGGGGAAGAAACTGAATTGGAGAAATGACTGACAGGGAGAGGGTGTTAGCGACTGTCTCAGTAACAAGTTTTTAGGGATGAAGAGTCCCCCTTTGGTTCCTGCAGACTTAGCTTCCTTCAGGTGGAAATGCATTCCTCATCTTTCCTTTGTCAGGGAAGAGGGTGGCCACTTAAGCTTTGGCTCTGAACTATAAACCATAGAGACATTCAGTGACAGTACCTCAGGGAAGTGAGGTCTAAGGCTGCCTCTTACTGCATGTATTTCTCCTTGGGTTATGTAGACTTGCTCAAATAAAGTTATGTAAATTAAAAATACATATTAAAAATTCTCACAGTGAGCATGGTTAAGTACTGAAAGAAACTGCTCAGAGCAGCAGTGGAATCCCCATCTCCGGCAATACTCAGAACTTGACTGGGCAAGGCCCTGAACAACCTGACTGAACTTTGAGGTAGGCCTTGTTTTGAGTAGAAGGCTGTATTAGGTAACTTCGAGGTCTCCCTTGCATCATAGATTAGGTATGTATCTTCTCGTATCTGAGATTTTTTTTATTCTTAATTTTGATTTCATGCCTTTGGCCAGTGGCTTGATTTTTTTTTTTTTTTTTTGAGTTAAAGAAAGAAAGTAATTGCTTAATACCAAATTGCATGACAGTTGATCACTTGTTAAGTTCATACTGTAATATCAGTTACTAATTTCTAATAGGCTTTATCTTTTTAAAGAAAAAAGCATTTCAACATATGCTTTAAAAAACAGTCTGTCTTTATTTTTGTCTGTCCTAGCCAGTGGTAGGTTGGGAGACACTCCCTCCATGGCAGTGATAGATAACTTCTTTCTGCATCAGATCTGTGGCAGTTTTACTCATTCTTGGCTCTGCACCCTACTTTCTTTTCCAGTGCTGTTGAGTTCCTTTTTTTTCCATGTTTGGCTGATGTTATTTCCTTTTTGTTTCTTTCTAGGCTGCTAAGTTGGCGTCAGTATTAAAGAAAGTCTTAGAGATTACAAGGTGAGTATGAGTTAGTTTCATATGTGTGTGTCCCCTGTAGATAGCTTTCTGCTTCCTAAGGTGACTCATTTCTAGGCAGCAAATGCTGGCATTTTACAATAATTATGATGTTAGTCAGTCACAAAGGGATGAAAGTAAGAACAGGATGATAGGGATAAAAGTGGTTCCCACTGAAGACACACACATGTAAGTTAAGGTTTGGCACTAGGGACGTAGGTGTGGGTTCTTCCTTGTCCAAAGCACTTGGGCTATAGCAGACCTGTTTTAATGCTGTGGTAATGCAGCACTTCACAATACCCATGTGTTGTCTGGGTGCATAGGTGTAAAGACACTCAGGAGGCTCTCCTAATGAATTTCCTCCACTTTTGCAGGACAAGCCATGTATGTCCACCATCAGAGGAAGGCTGGGTGCAGTTTCTAACTGGTGCAGTAGATCACAACATGAACAAAATCAAGAACTTCACACAGGGTCAACTTTAGTTATTCAGTGTGTGTGTTGCTGCCACTGTTTCTGGCATGTACTTTTCTGGTGAATCTTGGTATTCTCCAACTACTGGGAGAATGATAAGTGTTTTTAGGAGAACTTTACTGCCACTTGGTAAAAATTTCACAGGGAATTACTCTTTGCTATTGCAGAAGGTATAATTTTGCTTGGATTCCTGGGATCCTGAAATGGTGCAGGGCTGCATCTTAATGCTGTGGATATGCCCCATTCTTCAGACGTTGCAACTAGTATGGGTTCAAAGAACAATAAAGTATTGCTAGATTTGCATGAGTGGCTTTCTCTTTTCAGGTGGCAGAGGATATGTACAGAAGGAAGGCGTCTTGCTTCTTTTGCAGGAAGCTTAATGAACCATTAAAAGCACGTAGTACTGCTGCTATTTCCTGCCTAACCTTAGAGAAGAGTGAACTATCTTTACTGTTTCCTCAGAAAGCAGTAGAAAATACTATTTACTACTTTGCCAGTGTCAAGGATCTGTAGGGGAATAATAGTATTTCTCTAGAGAAATGTTACATCTATCATCACTTTAAAGTTCTAGGATATTCCTTTTTGCCATGGTAGGGAAAAATGGCTAAGCAGTGGAGGATTCAGCACATGTGCATGGTGAAAAATGCAGCATTTGCTCGAGCATTTACCCCATCTTTGCCACGGTGAGGTCGAGCTTAAAAACTGGAAAGTGGGCATAATGGCAGATGGAAGAGAGTTGAGTTTGTACAAATAATCAAAGTCAGTCATGGTTTTAAATATCTTTAATTCAGCTGTTAACATCTATGCTTGCCTGAGACCAGGGCACAGATTATTATTGCTCTTCTGTAAGGGAACAGCAGGATCTGTTCTAAATTGGGCATCAGGCAGTTGCAATGTTGATAGTTTTGTAGCTCTTTAGGTTCTGGAGCTGAAGGCAGGTAAAATGTGCAGTGAGTCTTCTGGGCCCAGCTTGGGTGGGGGTGAATGGGATTTGCAGCTGTTGAGTGCTTTTGGGTTGCACAGAGCCCAGCCTGAAAGGTGAGAAGGGATTATACAGGAAGTACACCTCTTTGTAGTTCTAGTTCCCGGCCCAGGAGGTGCATTTGATCAACACAGGTGTGGGGCCAGAAAAGGAAAGGGGGTTGAGGGGGGGAAGGTGGCAGGTAGTGGTTGCCTGAACTACCCCAATGGAACTGTGATGTGGTGGTGGTTTGGGGAGGGATATATGTCAGGAGGGTTGAACTCCCCATGGAGTCATCTAAGGTTACTTTGCCCTAATGCAGCTTCTTGAGAGCAGTGTGTGTGTAGGCAGGGTTAATGCCTTTTTGGATGACTCAGCTAAGCCAGATTTGTCTGGTTCTTCAGAGAAGGGGAAGACACTGTTAAAATTGTACCCAGGGACTGTCTTTATTGCTGACAGTGGGTAGTATGTGGAAAGATACGTCACAAAGAGTATAGTTTCACCCCATTCACGTATGTTTACATGGCTATCTAAAAAACAATTGATTTCTCAAGAGCAAATAATTTCTCAATTTTGTAGCTCATTTCGGCAACCTATAACTGTTGTCTTATTTAATGTGTATTTCTCCCTAGGTCTTGTACTTCTCGTTAACCTTCTTGTTGGCAGGGAGCTTTCCTTCTGCTGTCTAGGCTTTTTGGGTTGAAGCTTTCACAAATGTTATACTGACTTCAACTTATGTATTACACATCTGTTGAAAATTCTGTTACCTGGATTTTCTTTTCCTCAGTGAAAATCTTCTGTATTATCAATAAAGGACGGGATGCCTGGGGCTTTCATGGTGCTGTAGTCTCTTCCTGCCATGTTGTTGCTCGCTTAGTTTTGGGGACATCCTTTCCTGCACAAGGGTTTCTCTAGCTGTTCTTAGATAATTCAGTTTGCACTTACTTGTACTTTCTTTGTCTGTAAATGAGCCCTCGCCCTGCAACCACTATCACACACTTCTCCAGGGGTTCGGTGAGAGGGTTCAGGAGGCCGATCTTCACTGTGCTTGGCTGATACTGTACCATGTTTTCTGGAAACTGTTGGAAGAAGGAAACGAGCTGAAACTGAAGGAAGGAAAGAGATTCTTCTGTGGTTAAAGGGAAATATATTGGTTTTTTTTTCAGTGTGAGAGGTTTCAGTTTGAGCTGCCAATTGCCAGAAGTCCAGCTTACTTTCTTCTTGACTACAGTATTCTGCTGTAGTTCTGTTCTGCATCATGTGATTTCCATAGTGGTGAGCGAGTTGGGAGTCATTGGGATTTCTTATGCTCACACGTAGACAAGGTAGAAGAGGGAGTACTGTATACAACAGTGTGGCACAGCACACTTTCCAAATTGATGTCTCAGTGCTTTGAAAAAAGCCTGAGGAGAGCTACTCAACCCAGCAGATTTCTTTTTTTCTCTTTATGACTATGAAAGCTGTTTTCTCATTACTGCAGTAACAGAACAACTGATCTAACCTCAATAGTGAGAGGGGGATCACAAATGATGATCTCCTCCTGTGCAAAGTATATGTAGAAGGAGTCCTCATCTTTCAATACAGCAGTCAGCCTAAGCAGATGGTCCTGTCCCAGTTCTTCTTTGTACTGTGAGTAAGGCACAGAGACTTGCAGGTTGTTAGCTGGAATACAGAGTGATGAAATACAGATGACAATGCAGATGAGAAGTACTATTTGGTCTTAGGCTGCATAGTGCCTAGGAGTGTTTAATGCCCAATATTGTACTAAAAGCCACAGCATTTAAAAGCTTAAGTGATTCCCAACTGCATTTGCAGATTCAAATTTTCTTTAAGTTGCCATTGACAAATGTTTTATTTCTGTCCCCTGCAATCAATTATTTGGGAACCTTTTGTAAAGTTATGGCTAAGTGCATTTTTCCTGAAGTGAGAGGACTAGACACACTTTTCTAGCCATGCACCCAGTAGAATCCTTACCTTCATTGCTTCTCAGGGTAAAATGAAACTCTTCCTTCCAAAGTTGGGTAATGGGAACACCATTATAATGTAGAGACTGGACCCCAACTAGCAGGTGGGTAGCCTTTTCTCCACCGCTGTAGTTAAATACTTCAATGGAAAGTGGAACATCTTGTCCCCGTAGCAGAGAATCCCTCATTTGGAGCTGGATGAAGAGGTTAACTGGCTCTTCAAGGGCAGTTGGAATGAAGCTAAACTGTGTTTTGCTGCTGCTGCTGATTGTCTCAAGCTTCTTTATCTTTGTGTAGGCTTTATCAAGTACTACTTTTTCCTGAAGAGAGCCTGTCACATGGGAGCACATATTTTAGAATTCTTTACTAGTGTGAAGCAGTAGATGCAGAAGGATGGCATTGAATTATCCTGGCAGTACTGTAGATAACTGTTTATAGAGAGAGAGCCTGCTATGCTTCAGTTGGAGCAGATTGAGAGTTTCAGCTGACAGGACAGTCATTGGATGTACCTGAAAGATTCTATTGGGAAACGTTTGCCTTAGGTTTTTAAAGCACCTTGGTGCTAACATCTGTTCGAATAAAAGAAGCAGTTGCCTTTTTAGCTATAGCTGTAGCTAGGGCACAGGACTATGTTGTGATGGACTGCAGCCAAGGAGACAGCATGCCATGGTCTAAGACGGGATGGTAGCGTTGGGTAAGGGAAATAGCACTCAGTAATAGATTCTGAAGGGGGAGCTACTTTTCGAGGGAGGGATTTAGACAATATCTGGGAGCAGTCCTTTTCAGAAACCTGGAGTCTGAAATATATATTACAGAGATAATGGGAGGTGAAGATACAGAGTGTACAGGTAACAGAAATCAGGAAAGGTTTTCCAGACAGGAAAGTGCCTGTTGAAAAAAGGTCTTGCCCTTGAGAGACCTCATTAATGCAGTGAAGCAAAATGAAATTTGTGCATGACTTCTGTAGACAGCAAGAGTAAGGTGTCCTTGTGCCACTCAGAAAGGGGAAGTAGTGAGAAGTGGGTGACCCTAATGCTCTGGTACAGCTCTGCTGTGTAGTCCTTCACTCTTCATTTGTAATGCTGGCAGAGAAAATGTGTTCAACCAGTTGCCTACCCCATACTGTTCAGCCTGGAGAAGAGAAGGCTGCATGGAGGCCTTACAGCAGCCTTCCACTATCTGAAGGGGGCCTACAAGGATGCTGGGGAGGGACTCTTGATCAGGGACTGCAGCAAGAGGACAAGGGGTGATGGACTTAAAGTGAAGCGGAGGAAGTTCAGATTAGCTAGAAGGAAGGAGTTCTTCACTGTGCAGGTGGTGAGGCACTGGAATGGGTTGCCTAAGGAAATTGCAAATGTTCTATCCCTGGCAGTGTTCAAGGCCAGGTTGGAGCCTTGGGTGGCATAGTTTAGTGCCAGGTGTCCCTGCTCATGGGAGGGGGGTTGGAACTAGATGATCTTAAGGTCCTTTCCAACCCTAACTATTCTATGATTCTATACCTTCAGGATACTTGTAGTTCTGTGTGATATCCTCACAGCGTTCACTGCCCACACTCTTGGTGCTGATGTTGTTGCCAGTGTACTTTGTGCTACCGAGAGCTGGCTTG